CTCAGGGCCTCATGCTTGCTAGGCAGGCACTCTACCATTTGAGCCACTCTGTCAGCCATATTTTTGTGTTGGGTATTTTTGCAATAGGGTTTCATGAACTATTTGCCCGGGGATGGCTTCGAATCTCGATCCTCCTGATCTCTGCCTCCCTAGTAGCTAGGATTACAGGTGTGAGCCACCAGTAGCGGTGCTAGTATCTTTAACACCACTGGAATTCTGGTTCATCTTCCTTTGTAACCTAGAGAGCCAGCCTCAGGCCAGTTCTACAGGCAACAGGTCATCCTTATTTACCTATTACTTTTCCTATGTGGTAGGGTGCCGTGATCTTCCATTTCTGGAAGTGGAATATTAACTTCCTTTCAAAAATAATGTATCTGAGTATAATAGAACCAAGTGTGGGTTTTTGTCTCTTGCCCTGAAGTTGCCAATGGGGTTTAGTTGAATATGAACAGGTGCAAAGTCCTCCTCGGTGGTGAGGCCTGGCCTCTCTGCAGGGCTTCCACCCACACAGCACCCCCCTATCTACAACTCCACACGATGGGGGGTGGGGGTCTGAGGGAGAGCAGCTAAGATGTGTGAAATTCTCCCAGAGACTCGCTCACAAACTGGGGGCCTGGGGGCCTGGGTGCTGCCTTTAGAATGTGGGCCCTCGCCAGGGAGTGCTGGAGTCCATCTGAAGTAAAGGGTCTTGTACCCCAGAGGCCTGGGAAGTGATGATTTGCCCAGGAGATCATTGAAGAACAAGGGTTGCAAAAAGTAGCCATTGCTGGTGTTAAGTTTCGAGTTGAAGAGAGGTTTGCAGTTATCCAGTGTCCAAAGTACAAAGAAGAACCTTATGTATGTTCGAGAAATAGAACTTGCATGGCTGAGGTTTTTGAAACTGATTTAGAAGGAAAACCAGGATTGAGAGAGCAATGACAATATTCCGTGATTGGAGGGTAATGGGAAGGAGGGGCGGTGCCCTGAGAGCCCAGAGTACAGATGCACCAGGCTGGCAGTCAGGGTAGCCTTGCAGGAAGAGGTGCGACTACCTGATGCCCACAAAGACACTTAGGAGTGTCCTGGGAGTCCTTTCAGTAACTAGTGTGCGGTGCTGTGGATACAGAAGGCGCCCAGTGTTGAGGGTACAGGTTTAGAGATTTCTCTTTGTCCAAGGGTGTGTTGCTGGGGTCTTAGTTTGATTCTGGTCATTTGAGGCAGGAAAAAGCAGTGTAGACCTGTCACCTCTCTAAACTGTTGTCTGTGTCCCATCTAGAGTGTAAGTTGTAAGAGCAAAGTCTAGCAGAATGCCTGTTTGAATGAATGAATGAATGAATGGATAGATGAATAAGGGAATGGACAGAGGACAAATAGGCACTCAGCAAATACTCCTTGTGCCTCCCTAGGCCAAAACTGAACAGCATCTCTCCCAACTCTACTGAATGCCACTGTCATCCTTGGCCTCATCTGTCTCCATGCACTTTTCAGCAGCCAGGATGGTTGAGCATGTTCCCAGGGGCCTGAGCAGAGCTGGACTTCTGACACCTGCCCCTACTCCAGAAAGCTTGGCCCAGAGTGCCCCTCTGGCACACTATCCCCAAAACATGGCCCTCATGACACACCTGTGGGCGGCAGGGCAATCAATTTGGATCCTAGAATGACAAGGACCTACCTCTCAGTCCTTGTCCTTTACCCAAGCCTGGATTTTGACCTTTCCTCTGCAGGAGATATTGGGGAGAGACTATGCTGAAGGTCAGCGGTCCCCTGCTGCCTTCCCCGCTGCTCCCAGAGCCACAGGGCGCACTCATCTAGCTCACCTACATGACAGTGGCGGGGGCATGGCGCTGGCTCCATCCACTATTGGCTTCAGCAGCAGTGCAGGAGGTGAAAGCTGGCACCCACTGGGTCAGGCCAGCACCCCCCACCCCACCCTGCAAGTGGCCTGGGCAGGGTGCGGCTTCCAGAAGCTCTAAATCTCACATGGAGAGCTCCGAGGGGCCCGGAATCCCCTCCCCGGGCCCTTTGTGGTCACACTAGAGGCAGGGAGATGGGGAGCAGGTGGCTGGTTTTTGCCTCTGCCAACTATCAGACTGAGATGTGACATGATGGACTCATTCTCAGATGGTTGGGCCAAAAGGATGACCTTGGAAAGGGAAGGACATTTGCAAGCTCTGCAGTGACCCTCCCCCCTCCCCACATTCTGGCTGACTTCAGGCTCCCCACTACCAGTTGGGGCCCATCACCCCTAGGTCTGAGAAGTGCTGGGTCTTTCTGCTCCCCCTACCCCCAGGCAATTTTCTATTTGCTCCCTGGAGAAGAGCAAGGAACAAAAGTGCTGAGAGAGTGGCCTGGGACAGCCCTAACTGGCCTTTCTGGGTGCTGTGTGCAGGAAGGAAACCATGGCTCTCTAACATGGGCTCTTCCAGGGCAAGGGGGAGGACCCCAAGTTTGGAGGAGGCCCCTGTTCTATGTGGTCTGCACTACAGAATCTGGTCCTCTTGTCCCTTCATTCCTGGTGCCACTCTCAGGCCACGCTTGGGGCTGGGAGGGCAGAAATGAGGTAGACAACCAAGGAACAACAGCTTCTACCCATTCCAACATCAGTCAGGGCGGTCAGCTCTATGAAGCTCCCACAGCCCAGCCTGGCTTCTCTCCTTTGTCTGTCTTTGGTCATTTTTTCTCAGTCTTCTGTCCCTCCTTCTGCCCAAGAGCTCTAAGAGGTGGTACTCCAGTGCTGGGTTGGAGCTGGCCTGTTCTGGCTTGTGAGGGCTGGTTGGCAAATTCCCAGGAATGGTACAAGCCAGTTGTGAAACACAGCTATTATTAAAAATGAGCTTATGTAAACCTACAATTAAATAACACATTAAAAGTAAAGATAGCACTCAAACTCATTACTTCCTATTTTACTCGTACCTATGCCTCTGAGCTTGGTGATGGTATCTTACAACACGGGAGCTACCTGCACACCTGTTTTTGCCCTGTGTTTAGTGACAATCACGCCAACAGCTTGATATCAGTTAGTAACGGGCACCTCACATTCAGAGCTTGATTTGTTTTTTCGTTTCTGAGACGTGGTCTCATACTTGCTAAACGAACTCTCTAACACTTAAAGACCTCAACCCTTTTGTATTTTGTTTTTGAGATGGTCTTAACTTTTGACCAGGCTGGCCTCGAACTTGTGATTCTCTTGCCTCTGCAGTAGCTGGGATTATGGGTGTGCACCACCACACCTGACTAATCCTGAACCTTCTTCCTGTAGCCAGACCACAGCCCTGTGCTGTGGGCATGAGACCCACCTGGCACTTAAATTCAGATACCAGGACATCACAGCAGTGCAGGGGAGGTTGAGGCCTTGGATCAGGAAAGGGGCATGACCTGGAACAGTCCCTGCAGCCACTGGGTCACATGGGCCTTAAACCAAGGTGACACCATCATGCTACCCATGGGGACTGCTGTTCCTTGGGATTGGTTGTCAATGTGAGGTCTTGATTTGGTCACAGACAAGACACAGGAGTGAGGGGGATGTTGGATACCCTTCAGGTGTGTGTCCAGTCAGGCGTGCAGAGATGGGAGATGGGTCCAGCTTTGGTGAAGGGTGGATGTGAGCTGAGTGTTGGACATTTTGAGTTGGAGCTGCCTTTGGGGACACAGGCACAGATCTGGGGTTTCAAAGGAGGCTGGGGTTGGAGGTGCCAGGTTGGAGCCTTCTGGGAATGGCGGTAATTAAGAGTTGAGGATGTGCAGGAGCTTGTTGGGGACGTGAGGGTGATGTGGGCTGGGTGTGCCTTGAGGTGAGCCGCACAGGACTGAGTCTGCAAAGGGCAGGGCGTGGCTACTGGGGAGGCCTAGGGAGGGAGGCGAGTGTTTCGAAAGGGGTTACCAGAGGTGAATGAATAACAGTTTAAATACAAGTGGAGAGTCACCAGGATGGCTGAGACGTTGTCTTTGGATTAGTGACAGATGGGCCACTGGTGACCTTAACAGCTGCCCTCTTGCTAGATCCACAGAGCTTGAGTGGACTAAAAAGGGGATCTGACAGCCAGGTGCACTGGCTTACACCTGTAATCCCAGCTACATGGGAGGTGGAGGTAGAAACAGGAGGATCACAGTTCAAGGCCAGTCCAGGCAAAATGTTTGTGTGACCCCCATCTCAACCAGCAAGCCAGATGTGGTGGTCCAGGCCTGTAATCCCAGCTGCATGGGAGGTGAGGGTAACAGGATCTTGGCCCAAGGCCAGCCCCAGGCAGAAAGCAAAACCCTACCTAAAAATTAATTTGAGCAAAAAGGGCTGGAGGCTTGGCTCAAGTGGTAGGAGTGCTTCCCTACCAAGTGCAAAGCCCTGAATTCAAACCCCAGTTCCGGGCAGGAGAGTGGCAGGTCAGTGCCACAGCCAGGTTGGAAGGTGTGACCTGGGGCAAAAGCAGTTGGCAGATAGGAGGGGGGCCGGGTTCCAATCCCCAGGTCCAGGATATGACATAGAACATGGATGAGAGAGAGGGCCGAGCCCAAACCCCAAGCTTCTCTGTGTGGGACATGTGGTGTTATTGGATGAGGCTGGATGAGGAGCACAGGGAGACAAGCTAAGAAGCTACGGTCCAGGTGGCAGCCAGTGCCTGTGAGTGCTGGCGGGGGAGACATGTGGAGCAGGAAGCAGATGAGGGAACCTAGGGAGTAAACAAATAAGACCCACAGCGAGAGCGCAGGAGAGCGAGGGGTGAGGAGAGTCTGCCAGGTTTTAGGAGTCACTGGCCGGGTATCAAGTCCTGCAAAGGGCACATGGGATGGAGTCTGGTTCAAAGCAACATGGATGGCAATTCCTGCCATGTGGCCAGATACAACAGACTGCAGAGCCCTGGGAAAGGCCAGGCCAGGAAGAAAGAGACACTTACAAAGCAAGGTTGGCATAGCTGGAAGGAGACATCGAGGCAGCGGCTGGACAGAGGATCAGTGACAGGGTTTGGTCACGTGTGGACAGCTATGTGCCTTCTTTCTCCCTCCTTCCACCCATCTGATATCAGCAGCTGAGGCCTCCAAGGACCAAATTCCACATCTAGCACTTGCTGGTTGGGCAGCCTGGGGAAAATCAAAAGGAGCTCTGGTTCCAAGTCAAAACAGGACTCAGGTTAAGGTGACATAAGATAAATGCATCACAGGGCAGGGGCTGTAGTGGAGTAAACTTTGTTCTTCACGTCTGGCTGTGTGCATCAGCGTGTTCGACACCCAGTGGCAAAGCGAGCAGTGATTCCCACAGCCGAGGAGGAGCCCGGGCAGGGAAGCAGGAAGCCTGAGTCCCCAAAGTCTGCTTGGAGCTTCTGTAACATGCAGCAAAGAAAACCAGGACTCGCTTTTGTCCCATTCTGTTTTATTACAACCCTGTCCTTGTATTCCAGAATGAATGGCTATTTAACACACGACCCCAAACACTCCTATAATGCATCTTGCTTAACATTCAAAAGTCTCCCCATTTCTTTCTCAGCACATTAAATCGAAAGGGAAAAAAAAAAAATCTTTAAAAGTCAATAGGTTTAGTCCGTCCCAGGAAAAGCACCTTTACAACAGGAAACTAAATGTGTCAGGAACGTAACCAATACACAAAGCAGCAGGTACGATTCCTGGCAGTAAAGAACAACTTCCAATGGAACATAAATAGACCCCCACGTAGTATATATCTCACAAGTGTGTACATACATAAGTAATATATTAAAAGAAATTCGGTTTCTACCCCCAAAAAGTTATGCAGAAATAATCAACAATCCCATCGAAGGAGAGGGGGAAGCCAGGTGCGGGAGCCATGTTAGAAATCAAGTACCCCGTCCTCCCCTCTGTGCACTATGGCTGCTCCCTGGGACAGAGTTGGGGCATATCTGCCTCGTGCCCCAGGCCCAGCAGATCCAGTGTTTGTAGAAAAGTGAGTCAGAGAAGGCTAGGAAGGCTGTCCCTGGGTGGCCCCAGAGCCTACCAGGCAGAGCCGATGAGCTAGCTGCAGGAGGGCGGCCCTGGGGTAGAGGGAAGTGCTCGGAGCCCAGAAACAGGACACAATACACCCAGGTTGATCAGTAAGCCACATTCCAGGCTTCTCCTAGGATCAATGGCTTTTGAGAGGAGTGGAGTTTCCAGACCCACCAAGGCTTAGCTTCATGAGCCTGTGGCTCCTTCAACGGAGGTCAACGGGTTGCAACTGAGTATTCTACCAGGGCCCAATGAGTAGTGTCTGCTTCGGGGAAGGTAAGTTTTGTCACTGCACACTAAGTGGGTTTGCCCTAAGACACCAGATGCTGGAAGATGCGGATACACACCAGCAGAGCAATCCTCTCAGGGCTTGGCAACAGTGTTTCCATCAACAAAACCACTGGCACAATCACCTGGGACCTTGTCTCCTCACTCTATAGCCTTCGCAGCACCACTGGCAAACAGGAGAAATGAAGGTCATCAGAACCAGAAGGCATGTCAGTAGTTTTAAGGTTTGGGAGCTCTGGAGCCACACCTCACACACAGCCGTACTCGTACCACACTGTCTGCTGGTCTCCGCCCGGCTCAGGGGATGCCGGTGTGCTCTTCGAGCTGCTCCCTCGACTGAAGTCCTCGGGGCCCCGGCTGGCATGGGAAGCTGTTAGGTCCGAAGGCCTACCGGGGCTCTTGGCTGGGAGCCCCTCACTGTAGCCTTGCCCTGGGAGCCCATCTGTTTCTGAGATGCTGAGCCCTGGCCGGACGGGAGCAATGGCGGCTACCTCCCCTGAGTGTGGTGACATTTTGGGCTTGGTCCTGGCAGCAGGGGCCACAGCAGGTGAGAAGTGCTGGAGCTGGGAGCTGCTGCCACTGCCACCTCCAGGGGCAAGAGCTGGGGCTGTGGCGGATTGCTGCAGCGGGGCCAGCCTCTCCTCCTTTGGAGGAGCCAGTGAGAAGCGCCTCGTGTCCAGTGGCCGGTTGCGGGGACCTGGGCCTTGACAGGAGCCATCAGCCCTTCCCACCAGTGGGGTCCGCTCCCGGGCTAGGCTGTGGGAGCCTGGAGCAGCAGGACTCTGTAGGCCATGGCTGCCTGTCTCTCTGCCCCCTGAGGCCTCAGGACCCCCTGGCTTCTGAGAACACTCCTGTTTGCAGGCCTCTGGCCCACTGGCCCGAAGAAGGTCAGCTGAAGCCAGGCTGAAAGCCCGGCTCAGGGACGAACTCCGGCTGGTAGACATGTGGGAAGTCATAGGTACTGTGGCTTGCCGGGGTTTGCCCAGAGACAAGCTCTGGGGAGGCTGGATCTGTCTTGGGGTGACACTGCCTGGGACTTCTGCCTCAGCCGGTCTGAAGTTTGGCTTCACATACTGCCCGGGCTTCAGCTGCCTCCCTTCAGAGGTGTTGACTGCCATCTTGATGGTGGGGACCACAAAGCTGGTTGGTGTTTTGGCCCCTTCTTTTCTGGGAGGTGGTCCTGGCTGGCCTCCGATGGCTGGGGGATCATTGGCCTTTCGGAAGTAGTCACTGAGTAGGTCATCCCGGCAACTGGGAGTGTCCTGCAGAGGGGAGACAGGATGGAGGTGTAGGTAGAGGTAGGTGGTCCTCGGAGCCTCCTCCCCCCACATTGTCAGGACTAAAACTTCTGCTCCAGCTTGGTTTCTTCAAGGCACGCCCCAGGAATGACAAGGATGGCAAAGGTACCAGGGGTGGGAGGGTACAGGCATCATCAGGGAAAGACCCCAGATGATACCAGGCAGCCTCTGAACTTCACAAAAAAGAGGGAAGTGACATCTTATAATGCCATCAACTCTACTGTTGGTACAGAAAGCCGACCACCGTCAGTGATTATAATCTGTTTCTGTTTGTTTTCACGCAGAAGCTAGAAAACTGCTGGTATGAACTGTACCTTCCCGCCCTGTCACCCCCACAGGCTGAGGAACATCTCAAGGATGAGGAGAAAAGCCAGAATCCCCACTGCTACACAGATCTCTCTCCTGGCCTGAGAAAGGGAGGAGAGAAGGGAACAGGGGCAAGGGGATCCAGAGAGGTAGAGGGTCCAGAAGCGAGAACAGCACACTGCACAGAGGAAAGGGCACCAGGCTGGCCCAGGCCGACAAACCCTCATGGAGCTGCTCACCCAGGTTCTGCCTCCCCTGCCCAAGAGCAGATGACCTGGAAACAGGTCGGGCCACTAGAGGCAAAGGTCTGTGATCTACTAGGGTCACTACCGCCTTGGGCCAGCATCTCATAGCCTGGCAGAGGCACAGGAGCTCACAGGATGTCAGGGTCGGGGAATGCCAGCTGGTGGGAGTTGCACCCTGGCTTGCTGTGACTTGTTGTGGATGCCAGACTGAAGGACATAACTCAGAACCCACCTGTACCCACCAATGACACCTATCCTGTCTGTGAACATAATTGACTTAGACCTTGACAGAGGTGTCTCAGTTGGGTTACACTACAGGTCCTAAATGCCCTTTTTAGATGGGCATCTAAAAAGACCTAGGGTTTCTAATACCCATGGCATCATATCTCCTCGAGGAGCCACAAGCTTATCTACCTAAAACCTCACTAAGACTGGGTAAGGCGGCTCACATCCACAATCCTAGCTACTCAGGAGGCAGTGGTTCAAGGCCAGCCCGAGCAAAAAGTTCTCTGCACAAGCCTCCACCTGAGCTGGATGGCTTTGTTTGTTGAGAGCAAGCACCATGCACACTGACCCACAGACAGCAGGCACTCAATAAATACCTACTGGCAAATATATTCTCTGTGCCCTGTTAGCATAGGTCACAGAGGTTCCTACATGGCTGGATGAAGTCCCCCTGTGTGTATTTAAGGGTAGTAAGAAGGAAGAACTGAAGTATTAAAACTCCTCAGCAGCTCTCACTAAAAAAGACAATCTACTTGATTCACTCAATAATCCAAGAGCTCACATTACTGAATTCAGACAGAGGACGTCCAGGCACACAGAGCTGCCTTGGGATGCTGAAAGGCAGCAGAGGAGGGCCTGTCAGCAGGTAGTGTGTGGGAAGCAAAGTGGGGGGGCCTCAGGAAGCTCAGCACACAGGAGTGGAGCCTGGTGCGGCTTGCTGCCTGTTTTCATGTAGCCTGTGAGCTAAGAAGTTTTCTCATTTCTACATGGTTGAACAAAAATCTTTAAGAACGAACAGTGAGGGCTGGAGCCTCGGGGTACGGTGCTTGTGGCTTGGGCATGCACAAAGCCCTGGGTTCTATCACCAACATCACCAAAAACAGAAAAAAGAACAGTTATATCATGACGTGCAAATCATACATAATTCAAATGTGAGTATCCGTGAGTACAGTTCTGCAGCTCATTCACTGACATGCAGCCACCACCTACTTTCTCCCCAGCAGAGCTGAGGAGCTGAAAAAGAAGTGCGGCCAGGAAATCTACAATGTTTACTACCTGGCCCTTGAAAGGCCCTTGTGGGTTTACCAACCTCTGCTGAAGAGGCAGGGCAAGCAGGCACTCAGAGCTCTGCCTCAAAGCTGAGCACAAGACCCTAACCTGCAGGCCACACCACATCATCCTTTGGTATTGGCACAGGCTGTGACAGCTGGCTTCAAACCCACAGGAAAGCAGTCACCTTCACCCCCAGTCCTCAGACACAGCTCATAGTGATTCGCTGGCCAGTGTTCACAATATCCTGCCACAGCTGAGACAGCTCTGCACCGAGGCCTCGCCACCCAACCCATCCTCCCGGAAGCTACTCACGTGGGTGGGAGAGCTGCGGTTGCTCTCTTCCAGGAATTCCTCCAAGGTGACCATCTCGTTGCTGGGGGAGGCTGAAGAGGGCCGTGCCCCAGTGTGAGGTGGGGCTGCACCCCTCTTCTGGACATCCTCATGGAAGAGAGGCCCATTCCGGGGCAGGGGGTTCTCATGGCGACTGAGGGTGACGCGTCCCAAGGTGCTGGCATCCCGGGGCAGTGTGGCTGGGTCCCTGCTGGGGATAAGGTCTGCGCTACTGAAGCTCTCAGATCGGCTGTGGAGTTGATCGGAGGAACCTGGGCAAGTGACATAGAAGGGCATGTGTCAGTCCCAGCTCCCTTGCCCTGCTGACCACAGCTCACTTAAAACCAACTGAGAAAATTCTGCCCCAAACCCTGAGGATCATGCTTCTCGGCTGGGTTCTGGATGCTGAAGGACCTGTTGAAATCCTTCAGTGCTTCACTTTGGCTTTAAAAAAAAAAAAAAAAAAGCTAATCAGAGATAAAAGTAGGAAGCTTCCACTGAAGTTTAAACTTAAAAGAAATTTTTAAAAGTTCCATCTCCTGCATTGACTGTAGGCTGCACAATGGAGTAACAAGCCTGGCGCAAAACCATGGACTGCTTATACCTGTCATCCGGGCACAAGGGTCACCACACTAATCTCTGCACTGTTCCAACTTTAGTACACGTGCTGCCAAGCAAAGAAAATGCTGAAGTTTAAACTACAAACCCCGTTAGTGTTCACCCATGCACCTAGCCAAAGTTACTACTCAGCACCTACTGCGAGGCTGCTTTTGTGGGGGGGGTGGGGATGGAGGGAATCACATAGAAGCTAATTACATTAAAATCTCCTCAAGAGTTTATGGTCTTGAGGGAAGAAGGCATGTGACAGCACAGATGTCCTTTTCCAAGGCACAGGAGCATTGGGGAAGACAATCTTAAAAACATTGGTAAATAATCAAAATCATCTGCACTTGTTCTCTGGCCACACTGGAAAGGAACAGCTATTCCCCTGTCCTCATTCCCTAAGTGAAGTAGCTCAGACAGAAGGATCTGTGACTTGTACAAGTCCTCAGAGCAGGCCTGTGTGGGTATGAAACCGCATTGTGTGGCCCATGGATGGATGCATCATGTGTTTGAAAGTCCATTTAACAGCTTATTTTTTAAGCTGTAAATCATGAGCACAGAGCCAAATATCTAAGTAAATGTTTAAAAGCTGATGGGTACCAGTGGCCCATGCCTGTAATCCCAGCTACATGGGAGGCCGAGATGAGGAGTATCCAAGTTCAAGGCTAGTCTGGGCAAAGAGTTCACCAGAACCCTGTCTCCAAATTAACCAGTGCAAAATGGACTGGAGGTGTGGCTCAAGTGGTAGAGTGCCTGCTCTGCAAGCACAAATCCCTGAGTTCAAACTCCAGTCCCACCAAAAAAATTTAAAAGCTCCCAGAGGGAGAGCCTTACCTTTGAGGCTAAGAGGTGAGCTGTTGCTGGATGTATTTCTGCTGCTTTCCAAGCTGCTTGGCCGTGATACTGAAAGGAAATGTGACATTTAACATGAAGGGTCAGTGACCAGGTAGATCCCAGGTTAAACCATCTCACCTGAGAAAAAAGCGTAGGCAAAGCAACTGTACGCCAAAGCTCAGGCCAGCGCCATCGCGTCAGCAAGGTGGGTCTGCGGAATTCTCCATGCCATTTGTCATCCCCGCACCCAACCAAGCTCTCAGCACTCAGCCGGTTCTTGGCAGACGACAACTCTGGCTGTCTATCTGCACCAGGTTAGAGCTGCTATTTAAAACAGCAGCACCCAAGCAATCTCACACACAGAGCCCCACTACAGAAATCAGACAAACGCCTGCTCTGGCAAACCCAGCGGTGGGGTGTGCGGCTGCTACATCACTTCACAGAGCTTTCCAGAACACAGCAAACAGCCCCTTTCAAACAGGAAGGAGGTGTCGTCGATGAAGCAGGTGCCTACGTACAGGTGACCACAGGGAGGGGCTGCTGGGACCTGGGGGTGAAGACGACACTGCTTCTCTGGGTCATTTGCTAGACTTCAGCTCCTCTGCCATTACCTGCCTCAAATTTACATCTGCTCCAAAGGGAAAATTTGAGGCTTACAGTGACAAGCGGAAGGACCCAGTCCTCCTGGCTGCTCTCGATGCTTGCCTGACTGGATCTTCCCCACAATGCCCTGCTGCAGACCCTCCAAAAGGCTGGCACCAGCCACTACAGAGGACAAAACATCCCTGCCAGGGAACACAGTCTCCCCAGGTCTATCTTCCAGCTGGCTTCTGAACCCTGGGGGGGAGAGACACTGGACAGTGCTTCAGTCCTCTATGCGAGCCCCAAGCACACTGGGCTGAACTGAACGAGAGCCTGCAAAAACACTAGAAGGCCCTGGGCTTGTTGCACCCAGGGAGAATCCACCCAGGTTTCCTGGGTCTACAGGGCCCAGGTCCCAGTGTTGGTGAGCGCTGAAAACAGCAGGCACCTGGAGACACTTGGTCAGAACCGCATGGTACAGTGCCCTTTTTGAGCAGGGAAATCTGAAACAAGCCAGTGTGCCTCTCTGAAAAGGCACTAAACTTTGCTACAAGGAAACTGATCTAAATCACAGGCCCTGAAAACACCTTTATCTATCTAGCTGTCTGTCTGTCTATGTATGTATGTATGTATGTATGTATATACGTATCTATCTATCTATTTTGGGGGGTTTTGAGACAGGGTCTCACTATGTATCCTAGACTGGTCCTGAACTCACCTTGTAGCCCAGGTTGGCCTGGCTCTCCATTTTCCTGCCTAAGTGCTGAGACTACAGGTGTACACCACCACGCCTGGCTTACCTTTGTTTATTAAAGGTGCTTTCCCTTCCCTGTCTTGACAAGAGAAGCTGGAGTTGTGTGAAGAAAGCCTGTGTGGTTAGCTGACCATCACGAATTTGGCTCCTCAATGAATATGCCTAGCAGGTTTCTCCATGTTTAGTCCCCCACTGGCTGTAAGGACAGAAGGGCTCTCCAGGACCAAATGCACCTTTATTCACAGAAATTCTGTCTAACTTGTGTGGACGCATGTCACACCATCACACTCACAGGTAGTAGAGAGGGTGGGAGATAATCCAGCTCCCTCACTTACTGCTCATGGCCTCAGATGCAAACAGAATCCAGTGTCCACCTGCTACGGTTTCCTTTGTAAGTACTGTTTTCCTGCTCTTCTAAGCATTGCTTTTCAAAAGCTGAGGGCTGGAGGTGGAGCTCAGAGCTAGAGCATCTGCTTACATGTGGGACGCCCAGGGTTCATCCCCAGCACTGTTATCCAGAAACAACCCAAAGCAACTTGTAATTGTGAGAAGTCTGGGGTCATTTACTAGTTCTCCTTCTGCAGATCTATCCTAGATCATAAGACAAGTGCTTCTCACGTGCTAAGACTGGATCCCACCATACGGACAGTGAGAGGCCCTTCTGAAACGGGCACTGCTGTGTACATCACCAGACCTTCACACCTACAGGGGTGCTTTATAGAAGGGTGGGGGCAGAGCTCCCAGAACCGGAACTCCTGGGAGGCAATGAATGAATCCCCTGCCTTTTGAGGTGCGCAAACAGGAGTTGTGTGTGGAGGGCCCTGAGCAGAGCAGAGGAGCGGGGCTGGAGAGACTACGAGTCTCCATCTCCACAGAACAACCCCACGTCGCCCCATACCCCCATGCCCAGTAGACTTCCACACTGCTTAGCTGGAAGGAAAAATGCCATTGACAAAAACCAAAGTAGAACCCATACTGAAGGGCACAGCAAGTGGCCACTCACCGTGCTGCCTGTTGTAGGAGCACTCGAGCTCCAGCGGCGGCTCGCTGAGGTTGTCTTCTGAATTACAGCCTAAGGGAGAATCATGCTGGTGAGTCTGGAGTCTGGAGAGCCTAACACCCACAGAAAAACCCCAGTCCTTGGCTGGAGAGCCAGTGCTGATCCCTGCCAGAGAACTGTGCCAGAGTCCAGTTCCTGGGGATGAGGGAGAGGAGTGTGAGCGGTGCCTTGGGACTTCCCTCTTCTATTCCCCCTCCCCTCCAATATCTTTCTAGCTGGGAAGAAAAGACACACCAACACACCGAACTCCTATCCAATTTAAATCGCACTTCTGCCTGCGCATGACTGGGAATGAAAGGCCTAAGACTAAGACAAGGAGCTGGTCAGCGCCCCAGGAGCCCCTCCAACCTCAAAGGCCAGCGGCACCAAAAGCAGAGGGCTGAGGGTCACGCCGATGTCAAGCAGCAGGAGGAAGGAGAAAGAAAAACTACTGGGACCCACCGCCTGGGGGAGAGGCTGCCTCCTGGACAGCAAGTCCTGCACCCTCAGATCCTAACCAGATGTAGACCCAGTAACCTACCAGGTAGCCATCAACCAGCCTCTTCCTGAGGACGGAAAAACGCCCTATGCTCCAAACCTGCTAGTTTCTGTTTAAGAGCAGAACCAGGGTCCCCTCCAAAACAGCAAAAGGGTCTCCATTTTGAAGGCAGCCATATGCCCACCAGAAATGAATATGCAGAGTAGAGGGTCCCTTGAGTATGGGGACCCTGTCTGTGTTGGTTTCTTTTGCACCAAGTCTGTGCTTGGCCAAGGCTTCCAGAGTTGAGTGGGTGGCGGTACTAGGAAAAAGAACCTTTCTGGCACTCAGACTCCCAACATCACAGAGGCAAGCACACCCACCTCCTTTAGCTGTTTGTTTCCTTTCTTGGGTGTTTTCACCTTTCTTCAATTAGAGAGATGCCTTTTCCAGTTTTAGGCATTACTTTCCTTTCTGCTTGCATGTTTTAAATTTCTAAATACTTCTTTATCACTCCTTTTCATAGCATCCTGTTCTTGTTCTGTGGGCACAGTAGCTTCTCTTACCGCTCAGACTACTGGTGCTGGACATTTTAAAGTTTTCATCTCAGGCTGGAGGCATGGCTCAAGTGGCAGAGCACCTACCTGGCAAGCACAAGGCCCTGAGTTCAAACCCTAGTACCGCAAAAAAAAAAAAAAGAAAATGTTTTCATCTCTGTGCTCCAGGGCATGCTAGTTTACTCCAGTTGCCTTCGCCATTGGTTCTGCTCTGTTTGGGGATGCAGGCTCCCCATCGGTGTCCAGGGAATCCCTGACCTTCTGCGGGCTTCACCTTGGCAACACCACACTATGCCATTTAGGTAGCAATCTCCCTAGCTAATGAAATCACTCAAGGACTATCTTAATCTTGTGCCTGAAAGTGAACATGCATAGCTATAGATCTTGGGAGATAACACATTTTTAAATCCTTCACTGGCCCTCGTTTCAGTGTGGCACATTTGTCCTCAGTTGTCACTGGACTTCCAGGTCAGGGACCCTTTCACTTATCCTCTCTAGAGAAAACATCTCCAGACTCCTGCAGTCTATTACCTGCTTTTATGCCAGCCCTGGTACCCCCAGCCTCCTGCCCGGATGGTGGCAGTAGGGTCTGAGGCTTTTCACATGACACGGGGCTCCTGAAGGTTCAGTTAACCATTCAAAGTCACCTGGCTGGTAAGTAGAGCTAAGGCTTGGGCCTATACCTGCGACCCAAAGCCTTGACAACTTGACCCTCTGCTCACACCTCTGAGCCTGGGTCTTCAGGAAGGCTCCTGACCACTGCCCTGCCCTCTGGAAGGACCACACTCACCTTTGGTCCGGCCTGTGTGCCGGGAGATAGGGGTGGAGGTGGAAGAGGCTGCTGTGATGGCTGAGGATGAACAGGTTCGGGGGCCCGACTCCGAGGGCCAGGACTTGGAGCCCGGGTCTGCAGAAGCGTCTGTGCGGTCAACACTGCCTCCGTGTGGAGACGTTCGCTTTGGTTTTAGATCCCCAGGGCCTGGGGCAGAAGATGACACTGAAAAATGAGGCTGCAAACCTGTGGTCAAGGCTGGACAAGCACACTGAGGCCTAAAGTAGGTAGAGCAGGGCACATGGACAACAGACACACAAGCAGGGCAGCTGCCCCTCCCAGCTGCAGTTTAAATGTGGGAGACCCCAAGTCTGGCCAGCCCGGAAAGGCTGGGAGGAAACAGGAGAAGTCAAAAAGATAAACAAATGGGGCAAAAATGCAACACGCTAGCCATAGCTCACACTTCCTCTTCAACACCATACACGACTCTGATCCCCGATTTCCAGTGATCCTAACAGATGCCCGCTCCGGACATCATACTCCAAACCTGCTGCAGACGCACTGAAGATCCTGCCACTGGCTTCTGGGAGCTTCAGAAGGAAGCCCACAGCCAACCGTACAATACCTCACCAATACAAGAAGAGGCTTAATCTGCATGGCAAGATGGGTCACAAGGTGATTTTTACCTTGTTTTATTGTGCTTTTTTTTGGCAGTGTTACTTGTTCTACCATGAACATGCAAAATCATATATAAAAAAATGCTTAACAGTCCTCCCCCCTTCAAAAAAAACAGAAAACCAGGGGGAGAGAGGATGGATTCTCCAAATACAAGACAAAAATACAATTTGTACAATGTCCCACTCCATGTGTCCCCAGGGCCATTCTTCATGTGGTGATTCGGGTCTGGCATAGACCAGACCCCATCTCTCCTCTCATCCACTTGAGCTCTGGGCTCACTATGCCGTTTCAAGTGCCCAGATCTTATGACTGGAAATGAAGGAAAAATTTGGATCCTGACTGATAACCTTGATGAGAAGCAATTCAAGTCTGCTGGAATGGAGCGGGACAGGCCATCCACGGGGGAGGTGGAGATGAGGATCCAGGGGGGAGCCAGAGATGGGTGAACAGTTAGCATGAGCGGCAGACAGAGACAGCACGATTCCAATAGCATGCTAGAGACAGTCCCAGGGGACAGGCGCCATGGTGGCCCTGGGTCCCCAGAGCAAGAGTCATGAGCTGAAGCCAGTAGTACACTAGCCAACTGTAACATTTTCACAGCTATGGATTTTATTTTTATGGTTATCTTGTTTTTGATGGTGACAACTTGTTTTCCATGGACAATACAATACTGACAATACTTTCAAGATAAATTTAACTGGAAACTGTGAGTCAACTTAAGAGAGAAAACACAAGCAACCACACTGGTGGAAAAGGCCATGGTAAAAATCACGAAGATGGCCCCAGAATGGCTGAAGACAGGGAACAATATGGTGGATAGACGGCCTCTTTGGGTCCCCCTTTTCTGGGTGTCATTTGTGCACCAATGTTCTTCCTGTCCACTATTGTTTTATTTCAGCATCCAAAATGTCAGGGAATCACAGCCCAGTCATAAAACTTCACTCTGGCTGGGCCAAACCAAGCCAGTTACTCAAAATGCTTGAACAGAGCAATCAATCTTTCAATGCACAGAGCGCATCTAAAGAGGGCCTTATTAGCAGGAGCCAACAACTCAGTGTTCTGACAAAGAAACAGGACAAAAGGGCAGCAACTTAAAACTTAGCTGCTTAAAAATAAGTCTTAAAAAAAACTCACTTAACACAGGCTGTATATTTCAGGAAGCATGACAACAACTGACTGCTTTGGCTTTACACACAGGCATGACGTAAGCTGCAGGTGCAAGGGGGGGGCACGTGGCCTCGTGACTTACTTAGCATGGACATCCTGGCCCAAGGACACGGGCACGTTTGTCCTGAGGGTCCCCTAAAAGTGGGCTGTGCTGAAGAAATGATCCAAGGAGTATGACAACTCATCTTCTATTTTGTAATCAGAATCCACGTTGGCTATTTTGGAATTGTGGGGAGAAGCAGGGGGTACTACGATGGACCACGTGGCCTTTAGGGACTGGCTTTTAGGGCTTTTTTTTTTTTTTTTGGTTGTTTGTTTGAATTTTGGAAATGGAGGAAGATACATGATGCAGACACATGGTAAGGGAAGGGATCAGAAATCTCCAATGTCTGAGAGAGAGACAGGCTCATGAGGAGAGGATGGGATGTCGGAGGAAGACCAGAACCGCAGGCGTTTAGAGAGAGCTGGGTGGGCCGTTGGAGACTTGTCTTTGTCCTTGCTTTTGCTTCTCAAAAAGGGACTCTTTTTGCGCTGAGGAGCTAAATTGTTATCACCACCAGGATGACCCAAAAGAAAAAGGGGGGAAAAAAAGACAACAAATGAAATGAATGATAATTACAAATGAGTCTAAATTAGCAAAATGTGTACTTAGGAAATCAAATTCCTGTCCAACCCGGGACAGATGGAACCAATAATACTCAATACTCAGACCAGAAGCCAGACTCAGTGAGTCATTTATGCCCTGACTCAATTGAGCTAATTCAGTGACAACTGTAACATCAACTACTTACTCACTCAGCACATGAGAATCATACAATGCCCAAGGAGCCCATGCTTTAGATGATTTTTCAATTTCAATGTGTTAAATTATTAAATAAGAAAGCCCACTGATGCAGAAGCCGGCTTCTCTTACTCATCCATTTTAATGACAGGGTCCCTGACATCTAGGCTGGTACACTGCTCCTGTTTCTGCTCAGCGACCTTGGAAACACTTAATGACATGCTTCGGGACCACTATCATGACACAGTCTACCTGAAGTACTCACAAATAATTTCTGCATTTCTAAAATCACCTTTTTTGGCAGAATGAGCTTAGAAGTAATAACTTCTTTTTTATGACCAAACTCCATTATGCCAAGAAAGTCATTATTTCCCTTATGATCTCCTTCAAGGAACCTATACTCTCTGGCCTTTAAATTACAGTCTCCACAGGGAGGACAACTGATTTAATTCCTAAACAGGCACTAACATTAACCAACCTGATTTCTGATTTAGGATGAAAGCTGATAGCAGAAGCTCCACTATTTCTTTCATCACAGCACCACCTGGTGGCCACTGCCCACAGTACAGAATAGGAACCAATTTATTCCACATTGGTGGCCCCGCTGCCCAACTTAGGGTGGCTTTAGCAGGCACCCTGAAGTTTGTTTAGCATCTTCAGAGACCAAAGTAGCTTTGGCTGAGGCAGTGCAAGCTCAGGGGCTTGGGTACCTGATGAAAGATGGAGAGCCACTGAGGACTTCCTGAAGCAGATGTGTCAAAGGCACCCAGGATCTCCCTACAGAAAAGAACTTACCATAAACTTTTCCACCACAAGGGAGACCTAAACGTGCTCCTACTGTGCCTGTCTCTATGCCAACTTTGGATATTTAAATACACACGAGGAATGACCCACCTCGCTCTAATGTAACAAAAGTGGGGTGGAATAACATGGTCCTGTGGAGTCGTGGGTTTGTCTTCTTCCTGGCTCCTGATATGCCTAGGTAAGAGGCACACCTGCACGGACACACACACCTTCACGTGCGCACACTCGCTAGCCAACGGATCTTCTGGGATGCCCCCCGCCCTTTACCCTCACCGCAGCCAGGTGGGCTGCTCCTACCTTTCCCCACAGGCCCGTTGTGGGCATCACGCTCTTCTGCACAGTTCGAAGCCGATGGGGGGCTGTCAGGGTTCTCTGGCTGTGATCTGAGAGGCTGAGGGGCGGATGGTGAGGTGGGGTCTGAGGGCTCCAGCTGCCAGGGAGGACTCTCTGGGGTTGATTTTAATCGTTCTCTGGAACCCTCTTTCTTTGGCTTGATGAGTTTAACTAAGGCTTTGGCTCCAATCCAGTGGTTCTTCCTAATCAGAGGAGATTTTAGAAGGCACAACCAGTGCTGTCATACCCGGCCCCCCAGCTCCCACTCCCCCAGGCTCCCTAACGTGGCCTAGGGTGTAGCCGAGTGGTACACATGTGCTGGCATTCATTTGCAAGACTCTGAGTTCGAGCTCTGGCACCACAAAAAAAAAAATCAAAAAGGATGATGGTGCCCGTGCAGACTCCATGATCCTATCTGGGGCTTAGAAATTAGGGTGGAATTAGACTGCATCTTATTCTCCATAGGACGCAGGATGGGCGGTTGTGGCAGGGGGCACCACGTTAGAAATCCACGCCGCTTTCCCAGGAGAAGGGCACTTCACGTGAAGCCAACAGCTCCTGCTGATTTGTGCAACATGGAGGAATGGGGCCGTGCTGTGCTAGCTGGCAATTTTTGTCAAAAAGTAGTCTTCAGGAATATTTCCTGGTAAAGTTAGTAAAGTGAAATAACTGATTTGTGTGTGTGTGCGTGGTACTGGGGATTGCACCCAGGGCCTCAAGCATACTAGGCAAGCACTCTAGTACTTGAGCTACACCCCTAGCCTTTTGTTTGTATGGGGTTTTTTCCCAATAGGATCTCTAACTTTGCCTGGGCTAGCCTCAAACTGGCAATCCTACTGCCTCAGCCTCATGAGTAGCTGAGATTATAGGTGTGCTCCACCATGCTTGGTGAAGTTGGCATCCTAATCATTCTGTGACATGGAGCAATCTGGACTTGGGGTGGGGGGTTGGTTTCCCAGGGAGTCTGGATTAAATTAAAGCCAGCATATTTAATTTAAAAGAAGTGTTGAAGCTTCCTTTAACCCATGCCCTGGGTTCCTACCCTGACCCCAAATCTAAACACTTTCCAAGTTCCTCCCATTCCTCATCTCAGCCTCAATTTCCTTATCTGTGAAATGGAAGACTGTGACTGAGGGTCTGAAATTCTGTGGCACTGTGACTTCAAGAGCCCCCTTGAAGGATTCATGGTGATTTCAACTTCAAGGTGGGGCTGGCCCAGGACAAACCAAAGGGACAAAGAAAGAACTCCTTGATAGAGACCAGCATCTCCAGACACTGAGCCTGCCCCACAACAGGCTGCAGCTCATGGGAGCTCAGACCATGTTTGAGAAGACATCCGGGGTTCTGCGAATCCAGAGGATTTGCACACGACCAACAGACAGGTTCCCATGTGCAGCCCATGCTTCCTTCCCACCACAGGAACATGGCTGTCCACGTCATGTTCAATCTTGAGACAAAACTCTGACAAGACAACCTTGCCACCTGGCTTTAATAGCTCTGAGACCACAGACTTTCTGCCCTTTTTCAGGGCAGAAATTAAGCAAAATTAAGCCTGTGTCTCATCAGGGTTAGCTGGCATTCACCATCCCTCCCAGGACAAGTTGGAGTGTGCAGGACGGGGTTGAAAGAAAGCCTAACTTCCTTCACCTGGGGGGCGCTCTGCACAGAGGGCTTCCAGGTGGTAAAGGTGGGGGCCTGTAAATGGGGTGCTGTTTGAGACACCTCGCCTCAAGGAAAAGCCAGCTGTGGTCTTTGTCCTTAAGTCACGGTATCTTAATCAACTCACTTCTTAGGAGCAGGATCATAGAACTTGTACTGGTCCATGATTTTTTCCTCCAGTTTTTCTTTATGTCTCCGTAAGGCATTTAGTTTATCTCTGTGAACAGAAGAAAGCTATCAATCCAGTTCTCACTAAATCAAATAAAGGTGCTCATCAGCCTAGCCTGGACCAGAGGCTGGTGTTTTCTGGGATTCAGACCCAAGGGTGCCCACCACCACACTGGTTGCTGAATTTAGAATTTGTGAACAGAAGCCCCAGCATGGGTCCAGAGGGCTATACGACCCTCACATCACCTAGGACCGGCTGCGAGTGACCGCAAGGGAGCAGAGTTCTAACAGTTTAAAAATTGCACTCAGAAGCCACAGGACCTCCCCACCAGGCCATTCAGGACACTAGGCACCCCCAGGGATGCACACAAACACCACTGGGCATTGAGGTTGAAAAGGTCAGTTTAGGGCTGGTGGAGTGGCTCAAGTGGTAAAACGCTTGCGTAACAAGTGTGAGTCCCCGAGTTCAAGTCCCAGTACTGCCAAAAACAAAAAAAAAAAGAAAGGTCAGTTTAGTTTAAGAACTTGGCCCATTCCACACTGGGTATCTGCTAATACTCCCAAGGTAGCAAACTACAGCTTTCATGGGCTAGGAAGAGAAGACAGAGAGCAAAGCAGAGCTGAAAGGCGGAGGAGAGGTGGGGCCTGCAGCAAACCTGAACACGCCCTAGGGCAGCCAGCTGCCACCATTTGGGAAGAATGAGGGTCCAGCAGGGGGACCTTTTGAGAAGCCAGGTGAGGAAGCAAATCTCCTGGTTGCTAAATGCTGGAAACTAGTTCACATTTTCAAAATCACAGCAAGAGGCCAGAGATACCTCTTGAAGCCTGGTGAGACAGCTCAGATCCCTGGTGTCCTCAGATGAGGAGAGGGAACCGCTCCTGTTCCTTCATCCTCAAAGCTGCCCAAAGAGGGCTTTCCCAAGAGCTCAATGTGAGGTTGCACCCTGGGAAAAGGGGCTGGAGCTCTGCTCCCAGCTCAACGTTAGTGTCTATCACTGTCCTCACGCTGTATAGCTTTTGGGGCTACGTTTGATCCCACAGACACAGAAACACACCAGACCTGGAGAAGGATCCAGGAACTGTGCCAGTCTACTGCTGGACACAGACACTCTCTAATGCAAAAACATCACCCAGTGACCAACCCCCACCCCCACACACCCAGGACCAGTCTCCTACACCTTCTAGTTAGTGCCGACCCCACCTCCACTGACAATGCTATCACAAGGATTATACACAGTCAACTTCAAGCAGCTGTCATCTCTACCCTAATTACAGTGTGGGTTCACACACAAACCATTCTTCCATAGGGGGCACGCAGATGAAGCAGGGAGAGCAGGAAGAAGTCTCGTTACATCAGAGCTGGGGCAGCACCCAGAGGGTTCAGTGACCACGACCCTCCACAAATGCATCTCTTCTTGCCTTTACCACACTCAGCACACCAGGGCCTGCCCGCAACGCCCATGATGGGGAGGGACAGATCAGTCACAACAGCACAGAGTGGTGAAGCCACCTGGATTATTGACACACATCTGGAACCATGAGTTTGCAAGCACCAGGGTTCTTCCTTCACTTTGGCAATTGCCCGGGCCCCACAGGCTTGAATCCCATTGAAAACTCCCAGTGGATCCAACATCTGTAGCTGGGTACCCTGACTTTCTTGTCCTGATGGCTCTGCACTTTTCTAGCACCTAGACCACCTGCCACCTGTCATGTCCCACCTACCATAACCACCTGGCCTGCCTCCTTCATCTTGTGCAGCAGCACACACTGGCAGCATCTGGCTGGGAGAGGGTCCTGCTCTGTTCACACCCTATTATCCCAAGGTACACTAAGGCTGAGGACAACACACAGGGCATAGCAAACTCCCTCTCCACAGAGTCAGGGAAAAGACACAAGAAAGAATCAGCCTTTCATCTGAGTTCCGCCCCAAATTCTACCTGAATTGGTAAAATGTCTTTTTGGTGCTGCCCTCTTAACTTCAAAGGCACAGAAGGAGCCTCCAGTGATGGACAGTGACTTTGAAAAAGCAAACAAAAGCCAACCACCACCACTTCCAGAAATCTAGAATGTTCCAATAAAACCTGGGACACCTGTGTTGGTGACATGGTCCACCTCCTGCCCCTGAAACCCCAATGGCCAGGGGCTGCTCTCTGTCCAGAATATCACGGGCCTGGTGGGAGAGGGGAGCAGGGCCTTCAGAGGCTGAGGACCGCTTGCTGTGTGGGCTGGAGGGCTGGTCCGGGGGCCTGATGACAAGCGTGCCCACCACCGCCTTACATGTACTGCTTCTGCTCCTCATGGAACTGCTCCTTGCTCTCCGTGTTCTGCTCCAGAAGTGTCTGGTTCTGCTGGCTCAGCAGCTGGATCTGGCTCAGCAGGTGACGGTTCTCCTCCTCCAGGTTCCCCTTGAGACGGGAAAGCAGCTGAAACACAGGCCAGCAGCAAATGACCATCTGCCACAAAGTATTACCACCACTGGAACCCCAGCTTCACAAAGAAGGAAAAGAACAAATGCACGAAGTTGCTCATCTCAGTATTCTCTAATAGGGAAAACAGGGAAAGAAACAGAGTCAGCAACATGGCTGCATTCCGCCTTCAACTGCACGCCCAGTGCTAGGCAGTGTGTGGCTACTCAGAGCCCACAGTTCAGCCGCTGCTCCAGGTGCACGACACCCTCAGATGCTGAAGGCTTCATACAGAAAGAACACGAACCTCTCACTCGTGATGTTTTTACCTATCACATACTGAAATGATATACTGGTTACATAAGGCGTATTATTAAAGTTAATTTCATCAGGGCTGGGGATGGTGCTCCATGCTAGGCTAGGGTTTGCCAAGCATGTACAAAGCCCTGGGTTCCAACCCCAGCACTGCCAAAAAGAAAAAAAAAATTTACTTCATTTCAAAAATCTTTTTAAAGGTAGCTACTAGAAGATGCTAAATTGCATGCTTTAATTATAATTCTTCTATTATATTTCAACTGGACAGCTCTACTCTAAATAAGAGGTGGTACACTTTTCCTGTCCAAAGTCAGAGATTAGAGATCTTAGGCTTTCCAAGCTACTCTGTGTCTGTTGCAGCTACTTTGCTCTTGCAGTAGGAAAGCAAACGTCATATCACACACATACAACGACTGGCTGTGTCCCAACAAAGCTTTACTTACAACCCTGACACTTAAACTTCATAAAGTTTTCAGTTGCCAAAAATTACTACTATTCATTTGATGTCTTTCCCCCAACCATTAAATAACTTTAAGAGCTATTCTTAGTTCCCAGGCTGTGTAAAGACAGGTGGCAGGCAGGATTTGGCTTATAGGTTGACAGTCACCAATTTCTGTTCTAGAACACTACTATGATGCAGTAGGAGGGTCACAGGCTTTGGAGGCAGAGACTGGGTTCCTGTCCTTTACTTACAGGGGACAAGGATGGGGACTCCAGCTCCTAGGTTAGTTAAGGATTACATGGCCAAGCACACAGCAAAATGTCTTGCACACCACAGATAGACATATTCTCTCCTATTTATGCCATTGCTATTACAACTCTGATTCACCAATAGAAAGATCAAAATCCTATCTTGAATATTATTACGCACAATCCACGTGCATAAAATGAGCAGCACTGGAAGGGAAAAGGAGGTGACACTATGCCCAACAACTTCCTTCACTAGGCACATTTCATGATGGCTGCTGCGAGACTATTTACACAATACATAAAATAAATACCATAATAAAAACGCCACTTTCTACAGTGTAAGGAATTGCACTAGGCTTGGAGTGAGACATACCACCCATGTGGTTGGTCAGCTGCTTAAGGAAGAAAATCCATCTCTGAAAAGGAAACACTAACCACTGGAAAGACCTGGCTGAGGTGCCAAGTCCTGAAGAACCAAGTGCCACTGGGCCCTCCCTTTGGCCTGAGCCCACGATGACAGGGTTGCTGCTCTTCTACCTCATTAGACCCTGGCAACCCCAGCAACAAACAAACCCAGCTAATGACACATGGTGTCCCAGTAAGAGGTGGGGTGAGCGAGGCGAGGGTGCAGAGCTCAGAGCCAAGGCCTGCCCTTCTCTCATTGCATTCATTCTGCTTGGCTTTTGGGAGGGGTTGAACTGTGCTCCTCTAAATTTACACACTAAAGCCCTAAGGCCCAGTCATTTGGAATGTGACTGTATTTGGAGGCCCTTTAAAGAAGCGATCAAATTAAAATGAGGCTGGCTGTGGGGGAGGCCCTAATCTAATCAGATTGGTGTCTTTGTGAGAAGAGAAATCGGTGCCCACAGTGAGATACCATGGATGCACACACAGAGTGAAGACCATGCTCCATGAGGACACACGAGAATGTGCCCATCTGCAAGCCAGGGAGAGGCCTCAGGAGGAACCAGCCCCATCAGCTTACTGACAGGGGTGAACTCCACCTCCATCCAGAGTGTGGGGACTCAATGGCTGTTGAGTGGTGCTGTTTTATCATGACAGTTGAAGTGGACTTAAGGCAGCATCCATCGGAAGCCTTTTTACAAGGACTGGTTTATGTTCCCTGCAGTTTTGTTGACTCCCCACAACCTGCCATCCCTGCAACAGTCCCCTTACCTAGTCTTCCCATGACTAAACCATCTCTGCTCTCCAGAAGTCCCCCCGCTTTGCTGCACAAATCAGCCCCTTCCCTGAAAACCCCACCTCACCCCCACACATCCACATCTGCCACCCCAACTACGGCACAATTACAGCCTTTTCCGTGTGGCCTCCCCCAGAGCCTCCAACCTCTGTCAACCAAGCTCTCTTCGATAATCCTCCCACACCTCCTGTCACGGCACAGTCCCTGGAGAGCGAGGGCTCCTTGGGCAGTTCTACTACTCTAGGGGCCCCCAGGCACTGGGCCCAAGGTCTCTCATCCTTGGTGGTCAGCCCATGACCTGGCTGGGAGACTGAAGACCAAGCAGCTCAGCACCCTGGACCTTGGTTTTCTCACTTGTGATGTCTTTCAGGGATGTCCCAAGAGGTGCGTGGGACTCACCTGCTCATCCACCCATCTCTGCAGCCATCCACCCATCTCTGCAGCCATCCCACCTGAAGAAAGGGGTTTGCTGCCTATGACAAGCATTTCCAACCCAGCTGGGGCTCCTGAATGAGTCTCCCTCCTGACCGCTCTGCCCCAGGACTCTGAGCAGAGTCGGCCACACTCCAAAATGGGGCAAGTTCAGGCCATTTTGCCAGAACAGTGTGGCTACTGAAATGAAGAGCTATAGGAAGAAGACTGACAGAAAACAGTTGGCTGATTCCGTGACCCCTCTACGGACCTCAGAGAGCAAAGGTCAGGCAAGGAGATGTCTTCTGACATTCCTACCAAATGAGGTGTCTAACCCTCTTTCAGATGCCTCTGACTGACCTCAGCCTCGGGCCACCCGCGCACATCTTAGAGCAGGCACCCACGCAGACCGTGGCCGCCTGCTCTAGTGGGCCGAGGGCCTCACCTCACAGTGGTTGTCCAGCTTGGTCAGTGAGATGTCCATGCTCTGGTGCTGCTCCTTCAGCTCGTCGAAGCGCGCCTGCCAGCGGTTCAGGTCCAGCTGCGCGTTGTTCAGCGAGGTCTTCAGCTCCTTGGTGTGGGCGTGCAGCTCCTCATACTCCCCCTTCAGCTGGTGGTGCAGGAAATTGACCCTGGGGGTGGAGAGGGGGAGAGGGAGAGCCACAGGGCTAAGGAGTGAGCTAAAGAGAGAATGGTCCAGAGCCCCAGGAATCTACGAAACAGCTCTGACAACAAAACCTCTCCGAGCCTCAGGCTTTTTTTCATGTGTTAAAGGAGAGGGTTGAACAAAACTGGTGGTTTTCAAACCATGTTCTTTGGGGTTCTATGAGGGTATCCCCGGTGCCAGCACACTGGGCCTGGGGGGAAGGCAAACAGGAAGGCTCAGACACTGGCTTTAACAAAGCATCACTGCTACTGCCCCTTCTGTTATGGCTTTAGTGTCTTTGCATACTTGGAGAGAAAGCATTGTGCTGGTGGGAGAAAAAAAAACAAAGGCAACATGGAGCCAGAACATTCTCTCTCTAAAATTCTATGTGTACGTGCCCAGCACCTCTTCTCTATTCGGAACCACTTTCTCCTTTCAATTCCTAAGAGAAATAAAACACGATGGCAGGGAACTATGTAAGTCCACTAAAATCGCCCCATCTGAGTACCCATGAGACAGCTGGGACCTCTGAGGCTTGTAGCAAAAAGTTCAGCTCAAATTACTGGGAATTTGTGGGTTCGATTTATTTTCTAAAAATCAAATTGGTTGCCGACATTTAAGGTGTCTAGCTTCTCTAAGAGAACAGGAACAAAGGAATGATAGACAGCCCAGGCCAACACTGTAGGTGCCTTTCTGCTGGGGTACACGCTGCACCTCACTGTCCGTGCCCATCGGGGGGCACTGTCACTCCCATGTGTTTTAGCTGCCTGGTCACCACAGGCAGTTTGTATAAGTCACCACAAGGCTGTGCAGGAAGTAGAGTTTATGAGGTCAAGATTTTGAGAGACCAAGATCTAGATTCAACCGACTGCCATGAACTAAAAGCCTTAACCTTGAGCAACTTATTTCATCTCTGAGCCTATGAAAAAAACCCAAAAGCCAGTATTCACAGTCAGTTCTGAATATGCACGGCAGTTCTGTCCTATACAGCCACAGCAACACTGACTTACTGAATTCTGAGCCACTGAGCTGGGGGAACACAGGATTAGGCTCCTGCCAGCCTCTGACATTTGTGTCAACTGATCCGATGTAACCCTACCTTACGTGGAGTCTGTTTAAAGGCACCTTTAGGTAATATACCCACAGCCAACACCTCTGTGACTCTGGCCTCAATGAAGGTGGTCATCTTTTCTCTGTAGGGCACATCACAGCCTTTCTGCATGCGAGGCCACAAGACAACACTTTAGCACTGAGTGTGTGCGTGTGTGCGTGCGTGTGTGTGTGTGTGTGTGTGTGTGTGTGGGGGCGGGGTGGAGGAGGCGATTTTAAAAACACTGAAATCACAACCCATAGCAGAAAATATGAAAACCATGGTGCTAAACAGGGTTTGAAAAGGACTTTTGTTTGTAACAGAAGAGATGAAACAAAGCAAAGTGTTGCCCGGTTCGACTTCAGTTGGGAACCTGCGTGTCAACTGGCTCCAGTATCTTGTGGACTCTGCGTATCCACAAAACCCCACTGACTTTGGTGTTACAAACACACACTGGCAAGTAAGTAAATTCACAATGCAGAATCTGGGAACAATGAGGACTAGCAATTCTGATTCCTGAGAGTGGTGCAGGGTAACGTTTGATGATGAATATAGCTGCTGTCACAGTGACACTACAGTGAGAGTATGTGATTGCCCGAATACCACCTGAGTCCTTGTGTCCCTGCAACCAGTTAGATTTGCCCTTCACCTCCTCACCTAGCTAGACGCTACCACAACAGTGAAAAAAACCCCACATGACCAGGGAACTCACTGGACCTCCCCTTCATGGCTGCAAGTGCTGGTGTGAACAGAATCTCAGTGCTGATGCCGGTGCCCATAAGGCAGGTTGGGATGGCCCAATGGCACCGGTGCTCACCTGTCCAGCTCTCCCCGCAGCCTCTGGTTCTCGCCCATGGTGACGGCGTTTGTCCTCTGCTCCTGCCGCAGCACCTCCCGCTCGGAGGTCAGCACCTTCTCCAGCTCGTCCAGCTCCGCTTTGTGCTTCAGCAAGTCACTGTGCCTGTCGGAGGGAAAGACCTACTGGGAATCTGGCCCGGGCCTTCTTTCAGGTAACTCACATCCCAGAAGACTTTGACACATCCTCTGAAAAAAACAAGGTTCCTTCAGAGACTTCTCTTTGCAGAAGGGCAGGGCATAGGCAGGGAGGCTGGACCAGGCCTGCCAGAGTAGAATGCAGGCAGCACCCATCTGAGAGCCCAGAGTCTGAGTCCTCCTCCCACTTGGTAAGTCCCCATGGTCTCTTTGCTTCCCTGTCACAGCAACCACCTCATTCAGTCACTTGGAACTCCACACCCTTCTCTTCTAGAGAATTATAAATAAGTTATGAGGTGGTTCACTACACATAAATAGATCTAAAAGAAACCACAGAATAAATAGACCTGATTCCACTATGTGTAACAGCTAATCCCTCCTCACTCCTCATAGAAACTCATGTCTCCTCCTTCCTGCTTGGTCCTCCCAGGGGACAGGCCACAGGCTGCTGGGAGTGAGGGAGGGAGCTTGCTCTCTCTCTCTCTCTCTCTCTCTCTCTCACACACACACACACAGAGACGCCCTCATACAGGGTTGCATTTTCTTTAATCCTTGTAGGTTGCACAGCTGTCTCTAGGGGGCAGCAGAGCACAAGGGTGGAGGCCCAAAGGCCTGGCGGTTTCTCCCACCCTGTGGAAGCATCTGTGTTCACAGATGACCCAAGGATTCCCCCCAAGACTGAGAGGCACACAGAGCTAGGAAGCAGTGAGGGATCTGAGGCACAACCTTTCAACTGTCTTGTTCATACAAACTCTTCACACACTCCCTTTCCTTCAGTAGGCCTCAGAGACCACCCAGTGCTCCAGGCATCTCCAGACCTCCACGCCTGCTCACATGAGCTGTGCCTGGACCGTCTCACTGCAGCCCATGTATACAGGAGTCAACTAGGAAACCTGCTTAAAGACTTTTAGACATAGGGCAGAGGCTGTGTCTGGCTTTCAGAGTGAGAACTTTCTCATTCACGCTAATCACTCTCAGAGAAATCATACAAGTTTGACAAATAAGGGCCATGGCTGACCGTTCAGGTTCTCCAATTCCTGCTCCCTTGTTGTGCTAGCTCAGCAAAGCACACTGATCAAGTGGATCTTGAACTGTAAGGCACACTTCAGGAGGCTTGCTGAGTACTCAGCATGACACACAGAAAAGATTTGCTAGAGGAAATGAATGAGCGAGGCTGTTCAATCCAAAAGACTACAGACCCTGTGTGGCAGGCACCTACACTCCTAGACCCACCACCCTGGTGCACAGACCAAAGGTGCCTACAGCCATACATCTAACCATCCAAACACACCAAGCAACTACCCAAGGCTGCATTGAGAAGCAATCACAGGCAAACGAAGCGAACTTGACCTTCAGGGTTGGTCCCAACTCCACCTGCAAAAACCTTCCCCCTTTGAGCAGATTCAAGAATAGAAGACACTACTAACAATGTAATGTGATAGGACTCTAGGAATAAGAGGAAGCGGCTAGTGATGGGGACACCATGCTCATATTAGAGCTGTATGAATACCGTCTGTCATGAGCACAGAATTCCTTTCCTGTCATGTAGATGGTAGATGCTATACAGTGAAAGTCACCTGAGTACAGGCTGGGTACAGGAGTAGGGAGACGAAAGTGCCAAGAGGTAGATGATGTGCCTCTTGGTGGGAAGGAACAATCTTACAGTGCTGATGGCTCAGTGGTCCTGAAGGATGGAGTTGGGGTGGATAAAGAGGGACAGCTCCAGATGGCAGCAAAAAGGACATATTAGCTGAGTCAATCAACCAATGTCATCACCGCTCTTGGAACCACAAGCATCACTGATGCCCACACAAGGCTCTTCTGGCTCAACTACATTCACTGGTCCTGAAGATGGGAACTACCTGCATGTTAGCCATTCCCACTGAAAAAACCAACTGCCCAGCCTCCTGTTCAGGTCAACCAACTCAAAGGAAATGCTGTCAGAGGGGCACAGGAAGTGGACAGTGGCTCCCAACTATCCACCTTCAGGATCCCTCTCTGGAGGAGCCTCCCTCTGGTGCGTGAGATTCAAGTAAGCACGATGTCTCACCTGAGGGCATCCAGACCACCCACTGTGGGTCCTGTCACCATCAGTGATACGCACAGCATAGGAGCTCAGCCTACCATGGTCAACTTAATGACACAAAACCTAGTTAATTTCTGTCTCTTTGTGTCTGTCTGTCTCTCTGGAACTTGCAATTCTCTTGCCTCTGCCTCAAGTATGGGTATTACAGGCCCTCAACTCTGCTTACTTTATATATATTTGAAACTTCCCATAATTAAAGGTTAAAAAGAAAAAGGCAAGGCAAGCATGCCAGCCTGACATAAAAGAGGTGATCTGAGGAGCCAGGGCAGGCATAGCCTGCACACTGGCAGCTCCGGAGAATTTCCTCCTGGTCACTGGCTAGGAGAGGAGAAGAGAGGGAGGGAAGAGGGGAAGAGAAAACCCTTCATGGAACAGGGCTTCAAGTGCCCTTGCCTAGAGCCAGGAGGAGGAACTGTGGCAAATCTCCTCTCCAGCGTGGACTGCCCCTCGATCTCCAGCTGCACAAACTTCAAATCACTGAAGATGACGTTTTATTTCCTTCCCTTTGGAAAGGCTCAGGTGCTCCAACAATGGAAGCAGCAGGCCAAGAGGAAACACAGGAAGAGACGGAGGCAACTGCTGGCCTGGGGAAAAGCCCAGTCCTCTGGGGCAGCCTAGTCTGACAGGCTCACCACACCAGCCCAGCTTTTCCCTAGGCCTCCCCTCTGCTCCCCTGAAGGTCTCATTTCTCCCTCAGGTCCCCCAGACCCTACCTCTGTACCCTCTGCCTCCTCCTGGCCTCACCTCTGAACCCCACTTGCCCCCGTCTCTAGGGTCCCTTATCAACACCCCTAACCATGTCCCATCCCCTATGCCTCACTCTGCACCCCCTGCTTCTCCCTGCTCCCCAGGCCCCACTTCTGCCCTCCAGTCCTCACCTCTCCCCGAGCTCCTTGTGCTGCAGCTCCAGGTTCCGGTGCAGTGTCTTCAGGCAGCTGTGCTGGCAGATGAGGGCCTCATACTCAGAGGACTGGCGCTCGTGTAGGGTGCCCAGGTGCTCATGATCCTGGAGCAGTGCCTCATAGGCAGCCTCCAGCTGCTCCTGCTGCCGCTGCAAGTTCTCATGCTCAGCCTCCTTGGCTGTCTGCTGGCTCTGCAGCAGCGCGCACTGTGCACTGAGTGAGGCACTCTGGGAGCTCAGCGTGGAATTCTCCACCTGCCGTGAGCAGAAACCCACAGGTGGTGAGGTGGCGAGTGGGCCAGGAAGCAAGCCAGACACTACCACAGAGGGACCTCAGGGCAGGCCAGGCTGGCCCAGAAGGACAGCTCTAACAGAACCTAAGGACCTGCTCTGGGAAGGGAACTGAGCAACACAAATGGGCCATCAGATGGTGGGATATCCTTTGTGCCCTCACTGACTATGTAGAATACTGAACAATCCTATCCTAACGGAACTAATTTTTGTAGAATACTATATCCAACACCATCCAAGATCATTAGAAAATGGAACAGGAGTCAGAACTTCCCTGATATTAAAACCAGACAAGATTTTTTCAAAATAAAACAACAAACCAATATCCTATTCTTGTTTTAACAGAATAAACCCCCAACCCCTGTGCCAAACAGTTTCCTGACTATTGTCCCTGTCTCTGTTGGAAAATAGGTTACTATTTTCTCAGAAACTGCATTAATGAATGACCATCCACTAACCATAAATAAAACCAGCATGCTTAGTGGCTCAGAACACTGGTTCTGCTCTTGGGAGTAGAAAATTCACACGGACTTCACAAAAGCTCTGTCAGCTTCTACTGTATAGAAGGCTCGTCACCCTTGCGAACAAAACTTATTTGATCTCTGAATCTTTCCTCAGTCACTCCTAATGACATCTCTAAGAATAGACTCTAGGCAGCATGGCAAAAATATAAGGAAGAACAAAAAAGAGATTTTTTTTTTTTAGCCTGTGCGGCCACGGGCTTAACCTTGAAAATGGCTTGTGAGCCCCACCACCTTCAAAGGCCCCAGGTACCTGCAGCTTGGCCGTTTGCGTCTGCAGTGTGGTGGTGTGCTCCTGCAGAAAGGCACTTTGTTTCTGCAATGTCAGGATCTGGCTGCTGAAGGTCATGTTCTGTGTCTCCAGGTGCTGCAGCTGCTCCTTCAGCAGCTGCTTCTCAGCCTGCAGAGCTGCGTTCTAGGGGATGGAGAAGCACATGCCAATCAGACACCCAGCAGGTCGCGCTCACCTGGCTTTACGAACGTGGGCTGTAACGAACTCTCAAGGATGGACGAAGGTCAAAGCCAGGGTCCACCTCTGGGGTGGGAAGTAACAGACACGCCCCTTTGAAATGGACAATCACCAGAAACTTTTAAGAAACAGACCACATGTCATGGGGTACACTGCCAGGAACCTGCAGTGAGTGGGAGGCCAGGACACACTGGTTACAGTCACTTCCGCCTTTCTTTCTTTAATGCTTTTATTTTGTTTCCTGCAGAGTCCAGCTGACTACAGCGCCACATCTCTCACAGAACATGAGCTATAACTCAGCTGTAACTTTCCCTACTGTAGAGAGATAGCAGGTGCTTCAAGGCATGTGGGACCACATCCACTACGCCAGCCACCAGGCTAAGTGCTATCCCTTATCAGCACAGGACTTTGGATGAGCCTCTTACATCTGGCTTAGCTCTCTCATCTGTCAAATAATGAAAATCACCACTACGGACTTCACCAAGTCATTATTGGGCATCAAATAAATCCAGGGAACAGACATACAGTGGCAAGCTTTTTCTGATAAGGGCTGGAGATTTCTGGATTTGCCACCATACTGTCTCTTTCTCAATTATTGAAGGCTACTAATGCAGTTGAAAAGCAGCCTAGATAACACATAAACAAAAGGGTGTGGCTGTGCTCCAAGAAAGCTTTATTTATAGGCACAAGTGGGGGCCGTGGTACTCAACACTGGGACTCAGCCCTGAAAAACACAACACTACAGGAATAGTCTAGGAAAAATTCTACAGGCCAAGTCCTGTCACGTCAGACAGGGAGTGACTAGCCACGGAGACTGTAGATATTGTCCCTTGTTCTAGACTTCTGAAGGGTCTGCAAATGAAAAGGAGCCCCTGGGCCCTGCCAGGAAAAGTCAAGAGGTACCCAGCTAGACCTGATAACCTCAAGACTCTGCTGTCCTGTGTTCTTCACAGGAATGATGTCATATTATCAGGGTGACTAGTAACAGGGCTGCCCCTCTTCTGAGCCTAGGGCCAGGATGCCCACTCACATTGCGCTCCAGCTCAATGGCCCGGTCCTTCAGACGGAGCAGCTCCATCGTGGCCTCCTGCTGGCTTAGTCCCCAGGCCTCCTTCTGCTGGTGACTGGTAAGCGACTTGCCCGCAGGGTGCTTGAGCGAGTTCTGTGAGTGTGTCCCATCCTCCTGAGTCCGTCTGAGCAGTTCACATTCTTCCTTCACCTGCGGGCACAATGACAGATTCAGGCAGGAAGGAACGTGTTCGGAGCTGTTCATGGCTAGAGGGCCCCAGGCCAAAGCCTCAAACTCCCACTATTCATCCCCTGGTAAGGGGCAAGCCAGACCCCCTTATCAGGGAAGGGCAGAAGCCTGGAACCTACATTTGCCCTAATCCCTACCACGTGACGGGTCTTCTTTCTTGCAGGAACCTCCACTCTCTACTGCATTACCTGGAGATGAGGCTGGGGCCCAGGCATGCAAAGACCTTACATCTCACAAAGTCCTTGCCAGTGCTGGAACGGCTTTGCTCCAGATTTCAATTCAAACACATGTTCAAAAAGGTTTGGTGCGGTGCCCGGAAGGTCAGCGTGTGAAGGAGGCAGGCAGCGGGATTTCCCGCTGTTACTGTGGAGTAATGGCCAAATACAAGACCCCGGCCTAAAGCGGAGGCTTCCAGCAGTCGACAGTTTGCTGTGACACCATGGAGGGTGGCGGAGGAAGTGGCAACAAAACCACAGGGGGGCTGGCGGGCTTCTTCGGAGCTGGCGGAGCAGGTTACTCGCACGCAGATTTGGCCGGCGTCCCGTTAACAGGTATGAACCTGCTGTCTCCTTATTTAAATGTGGATCCACAATATCTTGGTACAGGATACAGATGAGTTTATTTTACCTACTGGAGCTAATAAAACCCGTGGCAGATTTGAACTAGCCTTCTTTACCATTGGAGGATGTTGCATGACAGGGGCTGCATTTGGGGCAGTGAATGGTCTTTGGCTAGGATTGAAGGAAACCCAGAACATGGCCTGGTCCAAACCAAGAAATATGCAGATTTTGAATATGGTGACTAGGTAAGGAGCACTTTGGGCTAATACTTTAGGTTCTCTAGCTTTACTCTATAGTGCATTTGGTGTTATTATTGAAAAAACACGAGGAGCAGAAGATGACCTCAACACAGCAGCAGCTGGAACCATGACAGGCATGTTGTATAAATGTATAGGTGGTCTTCGAGGTGTAGCACGGGGTGGTCTTGCAGGACTAACACTTACCAGCCTCTATGCACTATATAACAACTGGGAGCACATGAAAGGCTCCTTGCTCCAACAGTCACTCTGAAGATTTTGCAAACTCATTCATGGAGGACAGCAATAGTCTTATCAATGAGTCAGCCAAGTTACTTCTACCTATAGTTACTTTGAAAAAGTGGAGATTTTTATTTGCTGTAATGAAGATCATGGATGGTTGACCAGGACCTGCACTTCTTGCTCATAGTGAGTGAAGCCAAAACCCTTTGGTGGCTGACTGAGAAATGCGGTTCTCTTCTCCTTTGGAGACGGTCTTGCAACTGTTCTTTCTCCTCCCACCTGAACTGGAAAACCACTTATTCCCAGAATTCAGGTCATGCTTATTATTTTATCACAAAGTATGTTCCTTTAATAATCTGAAACTGTATTGTTGGCCTGTATTCCAAATAAAGGGTGAAAATGAACAACAAAAAAAAAAGGTTTGGTGCACATATGTGCACAGGTGTGGACAGTATGTATGTGTGAATGAGGCACATCTATGTATGTATGCAGAGTATGGGCACACGTGTGCATGTGGGTGCCAGAAAGCAGACAAGTGTGCACAACTTCTCAAGACCCTGTCCCACGTGTGGGCACCTATGACACCTGCACCTATCTGCTTGGGGCCCAGCGCTCAATTGCACAGGACTCTCATGATGTGTGCCCTTCATGAGCTCTGCCTCCTGGACAGAGCTGCTCTGAGCTGTTGCCCCCTTTCCCAGACACTCTTCTGGCTTTATCCTGCCCTCTTATGTCACCCTGATGGTGGCACCCTCAGGGATCCTATAGCTCATCCATGCCCACCCTAAGACATGGTATCCAGGCCACCTTTGGCTGCCCAGGTGAGGCAGACACCTGGCAGGGGGAACCCAGCTCAGCCTCCCCCTGCTCTTACCATCTGCAATTCACTCTGTAGTTGGTGATTCAGGCTGGCTTTTTCCTCCATCTGGGCTTCCAAGAACGTAATCTTTTCTTCTTTCATGGTCAATGTTGTTTTTAATGCTGATTCATTTCTGCCATCCAAAATTTTCAATTTTCTGAAAAATACAAGATACAACAGCATTATTTACTTGCCTCTTCACCCCCACACCTCAATCCTCCCACTGCCAACCCTCCTCTCCTTCCATTAGGTTGTTCTCCTGCACCTCCTGCAGCAGGTGGCCCAGGGGGACCTGGAAGCCAACCCATGACTCAGAGCCCTTCCTGGATTCCTCAGCAGGCACAACGAAGACAGCCTCACACAAGACACCACTGCTACATTTTATAGCCACTGCCTTAGGGAGGTGTTCTGTCATGGCTATTTTTTTACACATGGGAAAACCGAGTCTTGGAAAGGTTAAAGCAATTTGCCCAAGGTCACAGTGCTAGGTATATGGTAAGGATGCAGCCTTTACACCACACTAAATGGGCATCCCATTAGCAGCCTCATTAATGAGGCTTGTTTGTTCCAAGTCCAGGGAAAGTCCAAGACATTAAACCATTTAAGAAAGAATGGGCCAGGCACTGGTGGCTCACGCCTGTAATCCGAGCTACTTAGGAGGCAGAGATCAGGAGGACTGCAGTTCAAAGCTAGCCTGGGCCAATAGTTGGTGAGACCCTATCTCGAAAAACCTTATCAAAAAAAAAAAAAAAAAAAAAAAAAAGGGCTGGTGGAGTGGCTCAAGGCGAAAGCCCTGAGTTCAAGCCCCAGTTACTGACCCCCCACCCCCAAAAAAAGAAAAACTGGTTGAGAAAAGCTGCAATAGTCAAATTAAAAATAAGAAGCCTTGCCAGCCACAGTGCCTGTAATCTCAGCATTTGGAAGACAGAAGGAGGAGGATCTTCAGTTAAATGCCAACCTAGGCTATATGGCAAGACCCTGTCTCCAAAAACAAAAATCTCCTCCAGGGACAAGTCCTGGACTACAAAGGACAGGGGCTCAAGGAGCCATGTGAAGCAGTGACTAAGGCTGACAGCACCAAGGCTCAGGTTCAGCAGTACAGGGGACTGTCCTCACGTGTCACTGTGGCTGTTATCGTCCTGCAGCAGTAGCTCCTTGCTGAGGCCAACCTTCTCCAGTTCCTGGCTCAGCTTGTCCAGCTCACTGGTCAGCTGCTGGCTCTTCAACTTCTCTAGCACCAGGTCCTGCAAAACAAGACACAAGCATTTATGGGAACCTGGCAGAGTCAACACCAGGGAGGCCAGGGCCTCCTACTGGGGCCACTTTTTCCCAAGTCCTGGTTGCCCTAGGACTTTCAGGTTGGGTGATGGGCTGGTTGACTCTGCTGGGCATGGCTGAGCTCTGCCCACAGAGTGCTATCTTTCTCCCTAGCTCTCTTGTCTACTTGCCATATGCAGGGGAGCTGGAAGAGGACTCCATTTGGGGGTGGCCAAGGCACAAGCTGGAAAAAGCCAAGTACCCAAGTCATTGAGTTTAAGGTCACTTGGGAAGGTGTGCATCAACTCCTAAGATGACAAACTTGTATGTTCAGCCATGCAGGTGCGGAAGCTGCCCACTAGAGCAGATACTGACCATGACATACTGAATTCACGGATGCCCTGATGGCCCATCCAAAAACACTTGGGAAGGAGCAAAAATAGCTTGAGATATTCATGAAGGTGCACGTGTATAACGATGTCCAGTATTAAACAGTGGGGACTGGAGGCAAAGCTCAGTAAGCATGCACAAAGCCCTGGGTTTAATCCCCAGCACACACACATACACAAAAAAAAACTAAAAACAAGGAAAATACTGGAAACAACCTTAATACCCTAAAATTATCACAGTAAATCTGTAAGATTAAGTACCTTGCAACCATTGAGAAACTGCACAACGTGACTTGAAAAATGGACTGGTTTGACTGTGTATGCAGTCTGTACAGAGCATGTATATAGACAGTCCCTGACTTTTGATGCCTAGACTTATGATTTTTTAACTTTGTGATGGTGTAAAGCGATATATTAGCCAAGTGTGGTGGTGCAATCCTGTAATCCCAACACTTGGGAGGTGGAGGCCAGCTAGGGCTACATAGTAAGATGCTGTCTCAAAACCAAACAACCAAAAAAACCAAACAACAAAACCAATATGTAGAAACCACACTTCAGACTTTCAATTTGGTAATTTCTTGGATTGGTGATTTGCAGCAGATTCTTTCCTCTAGACTCGGGTCAGTGGTAGCGAGCCGCAGCCCCTGTCAGTCCTGCAGGGAGGATGGGACCCCACTGACCCTCGGCAGTGCTAAGCTAGGTATATTAAATGCACTCTCCATTTACAGTATTTTCAACCCACAATGGGTTTACCTGCATGTGACCCCACCATTAGGTCAAGAAGGTCTGTACACACATGCACAGGAAAAATAATGGAGTAAGAGAAGCTAAACTACGAAGGTCGCCCGCTGTGGATTCGGCTTTCAGAAGAATCCCTTTAGGATCAGAGGAAACACGGAGCACACACAGAGTTCCCCTTCTACTCTGGAACCGCGCCCTCTGGAAACCAGCCCCTCCTGCCACTGTGCCCGGCTCACCTCTCGCAGGGTGGTCAGTGTCCTTGTGTGCATGGTGACCTGCTTGGTGAGGTCCCTGTTGTCCTTCTCCAGCTCCTTCAGCTTGCCGGCCGCATCCCGGCAGCGGGCCAGCTCCTTGTCCAGCGCACGGCTCTCCTTCTCGGCCGCGGACAGCTTGGCGGTGCTGTCGTCCAAGACGGCATCCTTGAGCTCCACCTGCTGCCACAGCCGCTTGGCCTCCTTCTCCAGCAGCTTCTTGTCCTTCTCCAGCTGGGCGACCTCCTGCTCCAGGGCCTTCCGGTCCTTCTCAGACCTCTCCAGTTGCTTGTTGGTGAGCCGCAGGGCCTCCAGGTCTCGTTGCAGGGCCTGGTGCTCAGCCTCCAGCTCCGCCAGCTCCCTCTCCAAGGCCTGCGACTTGTGGCCGCTGTTCTCCAGGCTCTGCTGCAGCCGAAGGTTCTCGGCGCTCACGCTCTGGTAGCTGAGCTCCAGGCGCTCCGACTTCTTGCTCAGGGCCTTCAGCAGCTCCACGTTCTTCCGCAGCTCCTCCTTCTCCCGCTCCAGCTGCTGGTTCTCCCTCTCCATCTGTGCCATCTTGGCACTGGTGAACCGCATGGTCTCCACCATCTTGCGTAGCTCCAGGTTCTCCTCGTCCAGCTGCCTGTTGTCGCGCTCCAGGCCCTCAAGCTGCACAGACACGTTCTGCAGGGTGTCTAGAGACTTCCTCAGTGTCCGGTTCTCTAGCTCCAGGCCCTGGCTCTCGTGCTCCAGGGCCTGCACCTTCTCGGTGACAGTCTTCAGGGAGGTCACTTTCTTGGCCAGTCGCTCATTCTCCTTCTCCAGACGGTGCAGCTCTTTCTCCAACGTCTCTGTGCGCTGCCCCTTCTCCTTGGCCTGCTCCAAGTCCCTGTGTAGTTGCTTCTTCTCCAACTCCAGCTGGCTGAGTTTACTGCTGGCCTCTGTCACAGCCTGATGGAGGGATCTGTTCTCCTTTTCGATGTCCTTCCCACGGGCCTCACTGCTGACCTGTGACCTCTCCCGCAGCGACCACACAGCTTGCTGGAGGTGTTCCTTCTCCTTCTCCATATCCTTGATCTATGGGAAAGTACAAAGAGCACCAGAATGCTGCTTACACCCGGGCTTAGACCTGAAAGCCTCCTATGACCATCCCACCATGCACCCAAACCCATTCCACTCATTCCTACAAGTCTGGCAGACGCAGAGGAGAGGGCATCACAACATAGGCGCCAAGACGGTGCAAGTCAAAATAACACTCAGCACAACGACCTCGCTCTCCACTACTTGAAAGTTTCAGCAATTTCTCTTGGTCCTTTCTGTCATGGCCCTGCTCACCTCTGTGGCCTCCTAAGCCACCCCCCAGCACCCCACTCATCACTCCCAGCACCTTTCTACCTCAGACCCTTTGCACATGCTGCTCCCTCTGCCTCAGTGCTTTCCCTCAAGCTTAAGGCCTCACTGGATCCCTCTCATCCTCAGCTGGTGTCCTGAATAAGGCTTGCGTGATGGCCTTCAGGCAGCCCTGCAACTCACTATTCTTTCTCCCAGCACCCTCGGCAGCACACGCCCAAGATCACCGTGCCTGTCACCCGGTATCTCACTTCCAAGCTGTGGGCTACACAGGGGCACTGTGTGTAAAGTCAGGCTAACCTTCTTCTTCCCACTTTTTATCACTCTACTACAGAGGTCATAAAACTAAAATACCTGAGACCCCAGCCTCCCTGGTAGGTGGAAAAGCCATGTCTCAGTTCTGGCCTATGTGCCATCTATACTGGGCTTGAGAAGGGATTCCCTTTGCCTCATCATCTCCACCTTTCTCCTCCCTGGGTTCTTGAGATGCTCAGCAGCCACTGTGAAGGCCCTCAGGGCAGGTTCAGACAGCATCACTGACCCACTGCATTGGTACCCTGACACTTCCTGCAATTTAAAACAAATAGAACCCTCCCTGCAGGTTGCCATGGTCTTGGTGGTAACACTGGACCTTTGGAGCTGGGTCACTGTTCTGTGCAGAGCAGAATGTTTAGCAGCTTCCTTGGCCTCTACCCACAGGCCAGGAGCACCAGCCCTCTCCTCATCTAAATCAGGACAATCAAAACTATCTTCAGATATTGTCAAATGTCCCCAGAGGTTGACTCCACCCCACTTTCCCCTACTGCTGGGGGCAACTGCCAGCCCACAGATCCAGAAGGCGGTGTAAGGAATGGCTATAATCTTAGTTCTGCCTCCTGCGGGTCAGTGTTCCAGGAGAGGCGAGAGGTGGTGGTGATGGAGGAAATGCCTACCTGCCTGGCTTTGTCAGCCTTCAGGGCCTCCATGTCACTCTGCAGCTGCTCTTTCTCTCGGATCAACTCCTCGCTGAGGGTCTCCAAGTCTTGGTTGCTTTGCTTTTCTCTCCCCAGCTGGGTCTGCAACTTTTCGATCTGCAGAGCCAAAAGACCCAGCCAAGAGCCTTATCTAATGAGCTCCGCTTTAAACCACAAAAAAATTCTCAGCCCACCGGGCACTGGAAGAGGCTTTTTCTCGAGGACAAAGGTCCTGGCATTGATCTGCATCAACCTCCTCACCCTCAGTCATCAACTGGAGGCCCACTGTGGGCACTTGTAGCTCAAGGACAGGAGAAAGGTCATCATTAGGCACCAGCCTGCCCACGTCCCTCCCAGGGGGCTCCTTGCCTCCTGTCCACTGCTTTTTTTCTTGGCCTTGTCTACTTCTGCCCCATATCAAACCACAAGCCCCAGGTCACCACCACTGGATGTGCGTCCTCCTCTCTCCCTATCTTCCTCCCTGCCTTGGGTAGTGACAGCACCCAGCTGCACTGAGAGGTCCACTATTTTGTCACCTTCAGGTAAATCTGCCACCAAGCCCTGTCCCTTCTGATTCATTCTGCTTCCCCATACAGCCCCATTGCTGTTGCCCCAGGCCAAACTGTATTATCCTACCTGACAACACCCGGTTACCCTGCAGATGCCAGGTTGTCTGATGCAGAAATGCATCTGGGCCACAGCCCTCTAGAACGTGAGCTGCCCAGACCAGGGCTTCTCACACCTCATAGAGGAGCTGAGTATTCGGATGCTTGTTAAGATGCAACCTGCCACCCAGCTGCCCCTCCCCAGCTGTGTCCAGGCTGTCCCTTCCCACTGGCACCAAACTCCCTTATCATGAGGGACAGGCACTGGGGAAAAGGCATTATGCTGGTCTCAGAGGGACAAGGGGTCAAAGCCTATCCCTCCCTACTGACCACATGGTCATGAGCAAGTTAGTGTGGCTGACAGTCGGGCCCAGCACATCAGTCATAATTCCTAGCGCACAGCAGGCACAATGCTGGTAGCCAGCCCTTCCCTGGAGATCAGTGGGCCTCATTCATCCCCCAGTTTCTGACATGGTGTGTCTAGGGTAGGGATTCAGATCTGCAGTTTACGTGACCACAGTGAGCCTCAAGCTGCTGGTTGGGGACCACTGCTCTAACACAACAGTCACTAGGGGAATCACCTGGGGGAGCTTAGAAAGATCTCAAACTTCAGGTCATCAATTCAATCTGAAACTTTGGAGACAGGACCCAGGGATGCCCAAGTGACCACTGTGAAGAGCAGGAACTCACTCAGCTGTTCTCACTCAGCCTGTCCAATCTGGGGCCTTGCACTGGCAAATATGTAAGCTCTCGGACAGCTCTAAGCACCATAATCAATGAGGGGCTGCCCAGCTTCCAGCATCACCTCCACCTCCTCAGGGGAAACAAGTCATGGGGTAGTGGGTCCCTTCTGCCCAACCCAGGATCTCCAGGTGGCGTGCTTCACTGAGCTAGAGCGGACCAGAAAAAAGCACTGTGATGCACCACATGGGGAGTCTTCTCAAAGCTGAGCAGCTTTCTCACCTTTCCCATCTCTTTCCCACTGCTTAGGACCAGGCCTGAGACCCAGCAGGAAGGAGGAAACAGGACTGAGAACTGGCTCCCTGAGGGGCTGGACCCCAGCCCAGCTCTCACCAGCAGGCCTGCCTAGTAAGCCACCCACTCTGAGCTACACAGAGTACCTCCTCCCCTGGTTCAAGATCCTCATGCCCCCTCCCCTACTATTACACTTGACCCTTAACCCTGCTGCACCTTCTCTCTCAAAGAAGGAGTTGCTGCTCCAACCTTCATGTTCCTGATAATGTCGAATGCTGATCTAAACATGAGAGTTCCCTGTCCACCACTGCTGCCCCCTATCTTTCTCCTTTTGGAGTTCTCAGGGCAGACTCTGGCCAGTCCCAGGAATGGTGGCCCTCTGTTCCAGCTCCCCATTCCCTGCCAGCCAGGTAATGACTTGACTCTGAGCCAAGACAGGGCCTCACTAGGACTACGGCAGGACAATGCTGGTGTCAGGCCAGGGAAGTTACCTGAGGGGAGGCAGAAGGCTGGGACCTGAGAGACAGGCAGGAGGAGTCACTGGGATGGCAGCACCCACCACACATTCCTGTTTGTACCAAGGCCAGTGCTACCCTTGGAACCTGTGGGGAGGTGGCCCACACCATCCCTGAGCCAGCAAGGTGACATTGCAGGCTACTCCAAGACCCTGCAGGGCAGAAGGGTGTCATCTTGCTAAAGGTCAGTTCTTCTTTGTCCTGGCTGGGACTGGATGGCCATTTAAGAAGACATTTCCTGCACTAGGCCCACAGAAATCTAAGACACCAAAACATCCAGTCACCTCTGCCACACTGCTCTGCACCAGGAGACCGAGCATGAGACTGGTGGTGGTGGTGGGGGGGGTGTCTTCTATTGTCCTACACAAACAGGACAAGCCACCTGGCAGCTAAAATGTGGCAAGGGACCCAACACTTCAAAGGGACCAGAAGAGAGGGCAGAACAGCTGGGGTGGGGGGAGGACTCCCGTGACGGCCACTTTCACAGCGGTGGGGGGGGGGGGTGCGGTTTGCCAAGCCCCACTCAGAGATGGAGAACCAGTAGAGCCTGGTCTCTTACCGGCAGCTCATGTTACCCTCACTGCCCCCCTGGCAGCCTGGAGAAATGAAGCTGAGGGACTCAGGGGACAGTCAGGAGATACCAGTCCTGCATGGAGACTGCCAGCAGGAGTGAGCTTGCCTCCTGCCTTGGAGTTTATTCACAGTCCATGCGGCAACTGCACCTCCCCCACAACCCCACCATGCAAATTAGACATCCTCTGTCCAGAAGGACAAGGCGCATCTTTGCCTGTGCCCTGTTCCAGCGATGCTACCTTCTTGCTGAGCTGGTGATTCTCCTTCTCCAGCTCCCCACACTTGAGGCTGCTCTCCTCCAGTGCCAGTGATGCGTCCCGAAGCCCCTGGATAGTGCTCTGGAGGCTCTGGTTCTCCTTTTCCAGTTTCAGGATGCGGCTGGAGGCGCATTCGTTCAGTTCAAACACGAACGACTTCCTAGAGGCTGAAGCCCAAGTCAGTCAGAGGCCAGTGTTCTTTTTTTTTTTTCCCCACACCAGAAAAATGTGTTTTATTTAAAAAACAAACAAAAACAAAACAAAAACCCAGCCTTTAATCAGAAAGTCTGATTAAATTTGATATTAACTCAAGATCTTAAAAATCTTTCAGGAAAGCCAACATGGTACGTGAAAGAAAAGCAGGCAGCTGCCAATGATTCTTTGGTAGAAAGTAAATTGCATACTTATACAAGCTGCCTCATGACTATCAAGCCCAAGTTTTGTTTTTCAAAAATAGGTTTCAAGATATACCAAAGAAACCACAGATACCCCCTAACAATACAAACCTTAAACAGCAAAGTTCAAGGATATAGCAAAAGCCAAACATGACAATACAAATAATTTATAAAATGAGCCTTTCAATTCTAGAAAATTAAAATAGGGTGAGCTCGCAGAAGGATAACGTACATAAAACAAAGGGAAGAGCAAATTGGAGCAACCCTAAACTTTTCCCCAATGACTAAGCTGCAAAAGACAGTGGGTTACATGTAGTTTTTCTTTTTCTTCAGCCAATTCAGTTCTCTTCAGATAAATTTGGTTACCAATCGGTACAAACAGAAGTTAAGGTAATTTTTCTTCTCCACTCAATCATACCATTTCTTTCTTTTCACCTTTTCCCTAATTTTCTCTGGTAAAATTTTTCTCTTGGTTTGACCAGTTGAACTCACAAGGCTTGGAACCTAAATTGAGTATCAACTCTTATTGGAATAGCACTTGGGAAATGCAATCCTAGAAAAGGCAAAATTTTTAACTGGAAGAGAGGCCAGTGTTCTGAAGCCTCCACTCCCACTCTCTGCCCCAGCCTCCTGCTCCTCCACTCCCATCCCAGGTAGTTAAAGCTGCTGCTTCAGCAACCCCCAGGCTCGCTCTGTTGGCTTAGCTGGGCTCTGCTTGGGGCAACCCAAAGGTCCAAGGGGAAAGCAGGCTGCAGTGGAGGCACCGGTGTAAAAGTGCAAGACCACATGTGGGACTTAGGAGAGCTGCTAGCTTACCAGGCTGCTAACCTGACTGACTAACTCAAGGACTGCAGAGGCCGACAGAGACAGCCAACAGGCAGGTGACATTTTCTATGCCCTCTCCAAGAGCAGAGGGTGTGTGGGTGGCTCGACAGGGAAGACACAGTAAGTGACCAGCCTGTCTGCCACAGGTTGTGGAAAGGCTGCCCTGATATCCATGCTTGACACTTGTCAGCGTGGGCTAAAGCCTAGACACAGAGATTTATTCCTGTGATTTCACAATTATATGGAAGAAAAGGGAGACAGCACATGTAAATTGCTTTAAAAATTCTAAGTGAGATGAAAACATAAACTCAACATTTATACAAGGCAGATTATCTACCTTGTTTTTAAACCACTCAGATACAAGTAGAAAAGAGAATCCAGGCCTGAGAGTCTGCCTGGAGCAGAAATGGAGGTCTTGCCTCCCCACCACAAGCAGGTATAGGACTTTAGGATAGGCAGAATCTTTTGGGGGAAGAAAACAATGGATGTGAAAGTCCTCTGAAGAAAGGACCAGGGTTTCTCCTCCCTCCTCTGTCCTATTCACCTCCAGGAGTCTTATCATACCATATCGCTAACCCTGCCAGCAACTATGAGTAGACAGGGTGGTGGCTTTCACAGTACAGCCATCAATCTACAAACTTGGTGTGTTGAGATCTCTGGGTTGACCATAGGACTAAAGGTGCTTGTTTCAAAACTGTTTGTGTTTTCATTACCTGCCCAGGCTAACTGTACAGACCCAAAAAAACCAACATCCTAGAGCCCTAAAAACAATAGGCAAGGCAGCAGTGAAGGGGACAGTGTATCCCATCCTAGTGAAAATGCACACAAAACAAGGACACTTGGAAGTCTTTGTCCCATTTTTGCTACAAAAAGAAACTAACCTTTAAAAAAAAAAAAAAAAAAAGCACCTAACCTAAAAACAAAACTACTAATTTGGAACCTGCGGTCATTTGGTGAAGCATTTTTACAGTGGTGAAATATACATTAAATTTATCATTTTAGCCATTTTTAAGTGTACAGTATCGTGGCATTAGGTACGTTCACACTGTTCTGCAACCAACCCTACCCTTCATCTCCTTCATCTTCCCATGCCCAAACTGTTTGCCCAGAGAATAATTTTAAGGTTCTACAAGTTTAATGATGGGACTGATGACAAGCAGTTTGTCACCAAAACAACCACTGGATCTCGAATGAGTGCTCTGCTCAGCAGACCGCTGAGCAACAAAAGAAATCAACATGCTTTAATAAGACAACGGCGTAAGAACAGTTGCCTCCACTGGGCCTCGCCAGGCCCCGGCAGGACTGAAGTTCACTACCTTATCTCATTTACACTCATGGCGAGAGTCATCTTGCTGAGGTTAAGTATCACCTAACGAGGGACGGAGCCAGGACTTTACGCATGCTCTAACTCAGAAACCACTAAACGATATGCACAAAAGTTTATTTAGGGGTTGGGAATTTAGCTCAGCAGTACAGCGTGTGCTTAGCACACATGAAGCCCTGGCTTCAATTTCGATCAGGGAAAAAAGAATCTGAAACATGTGGAGGTGTGTACCTGCAGTCCCAGCTACTCAGGAAGCTGAGATAGGAGGACTATTTGAGCCCAGGAGTTCAGGGCCAGCCTGGGCAACAGTGAGACCCAGCTTCTTTAAAAACAAAAAAGACAAATATAAATTTAAAATAAGAAATAAATAAAAAGCAGTCCTGGTTTTGTTTGCAATCATGCCACTATTCAAGTCAACAATATTATGAAGAATAAATTATGGTCACTGACTTTAAAGGACTACCAAACTATATGGAATAGTGTAAACTGGTGAGGCCTTCCACACCACCAGACACCCTGGTCTCAGAGTGTAACAGATACACTGGATGGGAGACCATCCTAGGCAATCTGTACCACTTGTCTACCCCACCAGGGGGCAGTGGTTCCTCCCGGTGGGCTTGGACTTCCAGAGGCAGGGAGCCAAGACGCTCCCTGGCAAAGTGCACAGGCACCAAAGAAGACAAAACTGTTCATAGTAACAGCTTAACTGGATGATTTTAAGTTGAGAATCAACAAGATCCTTGGAAGAAGAAGAAGTAATCAACTGCTTTCAATGACCTTAGCAGTATTCTTGGGGACATTTATCAAAATTTTAAAAAGCCTTTCCCAAAATAAGGCAAAAGCCTTACCACGCTCTGTAAAGTGCTAAGTAAATATTAACTCATAATATCAGGTGCAAGGGAACAGTGAATGTGGCTATTTTCAAACACAGGAACTTGCTTATTGTTTGCACAATGATGAAACTTCCTGCTCCAGTGCTGATTGGGGCCCCCACCCTTCCCATGACTGACTGCCACCTCGCCTTGCCTCAGGGTGCCAGCAGAGGACAGCAGCACCAGCCCAGGAGGGAAGCAAAGCAGCCAAGAACCTCCAACTGGGGACCAGAAGCCACTTAGCATCCCCACCCGGGAGACAGAGAACAGGCTGCATCCATCCTGCTCAATTATGCAAATGAATAGAGGAAATAATGCCAGTGGTACATTTATAGCAGGGATTAGGAACCACAAGGGACACTCCTGCTCTCAACCTTCTACTGACAGGCCTAAGATGTCCTCAGGGTACCAGCGTGCTGTGATCTGGAAGCTCCATATGGGAAACCCAGAAACCTGGCAACACTTAATTTATATTTCAAGTCCTGACATCAGGGCTGCCAGACCCCTCCATGTTTTCCTTGGGGAGAATGGTAATGAAACAGTTCCAAATGGCCCCTGAAGAAAATCATATTTACGAAGGGTGAACGGATGAGCTGCCAGGAAGATTGAGCGCTAAGGGCTCAGCTCCCTGTCTCAGGAGCAGCCACAGGCATTGGGCGCCACCTACCGTCTGACAAGTCAGCATTCTTGGACAACTGCTCCAGCTCCCAGCCCAGGTGGGCTGACTCGTTCATGCTCTGTTTCTGTGCTAGCTCCAAGACCATATTTTCTTCTAGCAGCTCCTCAATTCGCTTCTTATCCGTGTCCCGGTCCTGGGACAGAAAGAAGGAAGGAGTGAGGACAAGCCTTGGCCAGGCCCTCAACCCCAGGCATCTGCCATTATCCACTGCAGATGAAGGACAGCAAGCACCTGTTCACTTCCAGACAGAGAGCTGCACAGAAATGCTGCACGTAGGGTCCTATGTACAACAGCCACCAGCAACAGCCACCACACTTGGCCTGGCTACCTAGGTTAAGAAGACAATCCTGAGGCCTCTACCTGAATGCTGTCTGAAGCTTTGAAGTAGGCACATGGTGATGGGCAACCTGGTTGCTCCAGAGCAGGCTTGGAAGCAGTGAATGCACTGGCATGCCAGTGCTCAACGCTAGAAATGCCAGCAAGCACCCTTTTTGCAAAAGACACACACCTGTATTCACCCTTGCAGAAAAGCAGCCCAGACAGACCCTAGCTGTTGTGAGCCCGCCGAGCTCAGCAAGCTACTTTTCAGTCAACAAGCTGCTGGAAACACAGTAGCTGAAACATCAGAAGGGTCTGGCCTAAGGCAGACACCGCCCCATCTGTTCTCCACAGGGTACCACATGGCTCGCAATACCAGTTCCAGGTCATGGAGCTTGGACTTCAGCTGCAAGTTCTCTTTCTCCAGTTCATGGACCTTATCGCCACGGGCCCGGGCAGCAGTCAGCTGCTCCTCCAGCATGGCTTTGGTTTCAATTAAGATGATGCGTCTTCTCTCAGCTCCTGGTGAGCAAAGCACACAGAAGAACCATCAGATCTGGGCACTGCATCACAGACCCAGGACTCGTAAGGAAGTTCCCAGGGCCACAGGACCCAAACAATCAACCTAGGGACAAGCCCGCCGCAGGAAGCTTTGTCTCCACTCTTATCAACCCAGCCTCTTGACAAGACGCAAGGACAAATGATCTTTCTCTACTAAGAGAAAAATATATGAATCAAGAAAATATTTAATGGAGACCTGCTATGGTGGTGCATACCTAAAATCCCAGTTAATTTGGGAGGCAGAGATAGGAGGATGGAGTTCTGTGGCCAGGCCAGGGAAAAGCAAGAAGCCCTACTTGCATGCCTCCATGCTGGAGGCATGGTTCAAGTGGATGCCCTGAGTTCAATCCCCAGTACTGCAACAACAAGAAAAAAATTAGTAAGAGTAGCTCAGTGACAGAGTGCTTGCCTAGAATGCACAAGGCCTGGGCTTGCTCCCAGTACCACAAGAAACACACACATACTTAACTTTGAGAGGGTGACCCTATCTCAAGATCTCACACAGGCCAGGGTGGTGCTAAGACTTTGACATCTGCAACCTCACTGGATGGACAAGTGGACTCTACCGACCAACTCAGGACTTCTCTGGTCCAAATTTCCTTAAAAGGGGGTGGACTGTGTCTACGGGGAGGGGTTCCCCAGGTTTGCGCCTCTCATTCAACAGTCAACCCACTGATCAGGAAAAAGAAAAAGACCGTTGAGAGAGCTTGCATTCAACACACAGTTGCTGTTTGAGTATTTCACACACGTACCCTGGCCACACAAAAGTGCCCGGCAGTTTCCTGGAAATGGGGAGTCTTTGCGACAGTTAACTGGCAGCCTGGCAACTCGAACAAATGTGAACCCTACAGACAGGTGTACGCGAGGGTCCACTGGGCTCCTGCTGGCCCAGTGCACAGTGGCTCTGTTGGCTCCCTTGGTTTCTCTTGTCCCAAGCCCTGTCCAGCACGACTGGACACCCTGGGGCCTGCATTTTGCCCTTGGGCCTCTTCACAGCTTGTACAGCGTACTTTGGGGATGTGCACTCCTCTTGGTGGGGAGGGCTTCCTTAGGTCTGTCCCACTCACAGACTGCAGAAAGGGGCAGGCTGGAGCTTCTGCATGTACTTCATTCCCTACATGGGCCAGAATCCAAGGTTCCTGGTGGAGGAATGGGAAGTACCCCATTCCCAGTCAGTAGACACAGGTTTGACCAAAGCCTGGCATCTGGGAAGGCTGCCTCATTAAGGCCCTGGTTCCACCTTCTGTCCTCTCTGCCTCACAGCAGCCCTAAGAGGGAAGCAGGCCGGTCCCTCTATACCGATGAGGAATGAGCCCAGGTCACAAACCTGCTAAGGGTTTGCACTTAGGCCACAGGGCTAAGATCCTGCATTTCCTCCACTCCCCTGAGCTGCTGGAGGAACCATCCTCAAGGGTTAAAAAGGCTGAGTCTGGTAATGACAGCCAGAGCGCAATGAGGGTTTCAAGCAGGAAAAAGATCCAGTCTTTCCTGTGTGGTCGCTGCCCACCCTGTTCTCATCATGTTCCAGCAGGGTCTACCCAATGGTGCTCCCCAGCATCACTACTCTGAGGTCCTGAGCAACCACAGCACAGGTTGCCCCTTTATCCTCATGGCCAACTCCTACTTGGCTTTCAACATCTAGCCTGAGTTGCCCCCCGAGAAGTGCTTGGGAATCCACTTTGTCCTACTCACTGGCATCGGAGCACCTACTGTTCCTTGGGACTGATCCGAGACGACAGTGGCTAGCCTGTCCTCCTCCCCCAGACCAGGAACTCCTCGAGGCAGGACTATTGTACAGCTGCTCCCATGAGACTCGTGTAAGTATTCAATGATGCCTGCTGGCTGAATCATACAACCAGGGGGAACTGGAGGTGACATGTAAGGCAGGCCTTGAAGGACTGGAATGTTTCTGGTAGACAGGGATCAGGGTGCAGGAGCAGAACAACGGGATGTTTTCTAACTACCAGTCAAACATACCTTGATTTTCTGGAGGCTTCGACCTGTGCTATGTTAGACGACAAAATATCCCCACCTATCTGCACATTCACCATCTCAGAAGCTAGAGACCAAAGCTAAAAGACACTGTGCCTGGACCCCTGCAAACTGGTGTGCCTAGGCTCCCAGGGGGCTGGTGTGTGGGGCTGAGAAGGCTGACCCCACAGCCAAGGCCAGCATGCTCCCCCATAGCCCTGCCCCAGCTGAACCAGGAGGCCACTTAAGGGCCCAACCCACACCAGCTGACAGCTGGGCCATATTTATGGAGCCACAGGGTGGGCCTGAGAATTTGTTCCCAAGTGGCCTGAGAGTCCACTTCTAACGTGTCACTGTGGCTTGAAGCAGTGGTCAGGCACGGGGCAAATGAGCTGACTCCCAGCCTGCCCTGGATTTGAGCCTCAGGACCTTGTAATCTGAATTCCTACCTCCTAAGGTAGGTGTGAAAATAGGGAGATATTGGATGTGTGTGTGAAATGCTCCATGCATAGCACCTGGTGGATTATAGTCAAGCCACATCCCTGCAGGACATAGGTCAATCCAGAATGCATCCATGGAACATCCCCTAAGTTAACAGGCAAAAATTCGTTTCCAAGGGCTAGGGGCACAGCTTGGTTGGTAGAGTGTGCGCTCAGCATGCACAAAGCCCTGGGATTGATCCCCAGCACGCAAAAACGACAAAAAGCAACAACAAGAAAAAAGTTTCTAGGAGGGCCTCCTGACACCCCTTGAGCACCACACACCCGGGAGGATACAGAGGGACGTGGAGTCAAAGCAACAAACAGTTCCCTCCCACTGAGCTCAAAGACTCACAATACACATGGTTCCCTGGTGTCCACAGTAACAGAGAGCTGGCGGGGGACTGAGGAGGAGGGAGAGCCAGTCTCACTCAGGGCAGTGGACCTCCTGCTCAGTAGAGATCAGCTTTGCTGAACTCCCACCCATCAGCTCCCCTGACCACTGACTGGCCCTCACTCCCCAGGAGATCTTGAGATCTGCCCCTTTAAAAGTGGCCTGCTATAAGGAGAGTGGGGGACCCGGACCTTAAACCACAAATTAAGTTTGTTCTGCTCAACTCTTCAGTATGCTGAATCTCATGAGAACTGGTCAGAAGAAAGAGATGCAGAAGTCCCAAGTTGGAACAGAAGATCGCCCGTGTTCAAAGTAATTTTAGTAGGGTCCCTAGATTGTAACATTGCCTGATTATAACATGAGCCCTTAGTTCTGATGTGAACTGCAGGAGGCTCCTCCTCAGGACTGCAGTGGCAGCCTGCCCCTTTTCCCAAGCACCTCCACATCCCTTCTCTCTGAGCCCCTTTCTTTCCTCCTCCTTGTGGTGGCTGAGGCTCTGGCCCATTGGCTGGCAGCTGGTCAAGGCCTGGAGGCCGCCAGCTGCATTCCGATCCCAGTCCACCTGCTTAGCAACTGCAACGCTGGGCAAGTTATTAATTAATCTTCAGTTTTCTCATCTGAGAAAAGGAGAACTAATCATGGCTGCCACACGTTGTGGAACCACCAGGAGGCTTTTACATGCAATGATGAAAGTAGACCTTAACAGTTCCTGGCTCCATAAATACAAAGTCACTTCTACTGCTCATTTAAAAGCCTGTCACTGCTCTGGCTCTGGGTCAGAGCTACAGGTTTGCAAAGGACCAGACAGTAACATTTCCAGCCCTGCAGGTCCCAAGTCTCTATCACAACCAGTCTATCCTGCAGGGGCAGCACAAGAGCAGCCAGAGGCAACAAATGGGCAAAGCTATGTTCCAATAAAACCTTATTCATAAAAGCTGATGGTGGGCTGGATTTTAGTCTGTGCACTGCAGTTTGCTGGCTTCTGTGCTGGGCAGTAATGCAGACTGTGTCTTCCCAGAGCTACGAGTCTGATTGGAAGACAAACAGGAAACTACATGGTGAAGCACTACCTGAAGTTCAGGGGATTTCTTAAGGAAATGTGAAGCAGGAGGCTGGAGATACGGCCTGCAGAGTTCACCTACCTAGACCAACTCTGGCCCTAAACTATGACTCCTGAGTCTGAGGTGATCTGGAAGAGTGAGTGAGGACAGGAGAAGTGGGCAGCTCAGAACTCACCTGTGCAAAACTGCAGGGGCCCTGGGGGAGCCCAAGGGCCTGTCTGCTGGGCAACCGATGAGAGCCAGACAAAGAGTGAGTGTGGACTTGTCTGTAGAACACTGCAGAGAAGCCTGGTGAGCCACTGGGAAGGCACCATGGCAGCAGGACAGAGGGACGGTACAGCCAGATTAGATTTGGGAAGCGTATCCTGTGTACAGATACTGGAGTAACCCAAGCAGGCAGTCTGGGAGGCTGGAAAGGCTGTCTTCCAGCTACAGGACAGCAACAGGTAGAGGCTGACCTATGCTCTGGCTGAAACACCAAGTATGTGGACAGTGACTGCAGCCCAGAGAAAATCTGGGCAGGCACAGAGAGAAAGGTGATGAATTTGGACATGCGAACTCTGAGATTCTATGGCTATCCAGAGGGACAGAGGCCTGGAGAGCAGAAAAGAAACCCAGCCTAAAGATTACGACCCTGAACTCAAATCAACACAGATTCCTGAGACACCTAGGAGAGTGGAGAGAACCCCAGCTGTGGGCGAGTGAATCAGTCGGGGGTCAGGGCAGGCCTGGAGGAAGGGGGGCAGGGCTAGGCCCCATCTCTCAGGCCCAGATGGGCAGGGCAGACCAAACCCATAGCATTCTCCAACCCCTTCCTGATCCTGGGCCCCACGACTGACATCTTAGAGGTGTGGCCTTGGATTGGGAGTAGGTAGGACACATTAAGACACTTGGGACTGATCATAAACTCAGCTCATAAGTGCTAGGCCTTGCCAATGACCCCACCCATCCCTCTGGCTGCCTCCTCACCACAGGATCTGCTCTGAGGGGGCTTATCCCCACTCTGGGGTTCCCTGCAGAGAGGAGCTACCTAGAACAAATTCATTGTAGAAGTGCCTGTGCCCAGGAAGCCAGGGCATGTGGGTCTCAGAGATGCCCAGACCACACCCCTCTTTGTAGACAAGATTAGACTTGCCCAATACCCAGCAAGGTAGTGTCACAGCTAGAACTGTGCCCAGCTGGGTCTCTGCCTCTCAGGCTGTTTAGCTGGAAGCCAGCACTGCCTAGAAAGCTGTCAATCCACGCCATGCTGCTTGGGCCACACACAGCATCTGTGCATTTGCTCTTTGCCTTGGGTAGAAATTTTTAGCTGATCATAAAATACAGGGAAAAAGAACCTTCCAGGAAATGTCTCTGCCTCTGCCTCCTCCCACACAGCCCTGACTATGACCCTATTGCAAGAAGCAGGCTCTAAACAGGACTACTGTTTGCAAAGGGAAGTCAAGGGCCAGCTGGGCACCTGCCCCACACTTCCTCCCCTCCCTCAGGATGCCTACACTGCTCCTCTTTAAGTAAGTTCAACCCTGTGCGAACCAGACCAAGAGCCACAAAAAAGATGCCAGGAGTTTAAATACACATCATACAAATTTTTGTTCCATGTTTTTCTAACCAAGATTAACCTTGCCCTTGCCCCAGACCTGAACCCTTTATCTTCTCCTCCCACATAGCGCTCTCTCTCCCCCCCTCTCTCTCTCCCTCTCTTTCTCTGGTGTGTTTCTAAGGAACAGACTGGGCAGGCTCTCAGAGAGCATGCCCAGTCCACCTGTCCTCCCCCGAGTGTCACACATGTGGAGAGCTGACACAAGAGCCATTACCAGGCTCCTGGTTCTGCTGACCTGTCAGTCATGCCTAAAATTGCAAGCTCCAATCCCAAGAAGACAAAACCCCATGTTTCTCCCCAGCCTTTCCACCTACTGTAAGACTCTGAATTGCAGAGCAGTGGGGTTTCTGACTTATGCTATGGTTCCCAAGTGCAGGGTGTGTGTGCCAAACTCTGTGTCTACTGTTAAATGAGTCCTCAGGGTTCAAGGTCTACACCCAGCCTTTGGCAAGACAAGCTCTGGGCTCTGCAAGTCCCACCCATTGAAGAGGGAAGCTTGCAGCAAAGAGCCACAGAGAAAAGCACCCTGGTTTACCTACTCTCAACTGAGATCCTCTCCAGCCTGGGTGTGTGGAAGGATTGCCAGGAGAGAAACTGCAGAACCCAGATTTCCAGGGCCCACTTGCTCTGGTCTGGGGGACAGGAAAAGGCATGTTAAACAGACACCCTCAGCAGTTCTGACCACATCTGGAGAAATGAAGAGCTAAGACACCAAGAAGGTGCTTCACAGCTCTAAACTGACCGATATTTCTAAACGCCTCATAATTACACTGTATGAGCTTATTTAAAGTGGTTAATGTCCCCATCCTTTTTTGTATATCAGAACCTTCTACCACCCATACTTTATTATGAAAAACACAAAACATGCTGAAAAGTCAAAATAATTGTATCATATACACGTGTGCACACACCACCTACCTTCCACAACTGACATTTTGCTGTATTTATTTGCTATGTCACTCAGCTATCCATCTGTCTATCCCTCTACCCATTTCATTTCTGTTTTCTGGATGTCACATTTCAATACCTAAATCTTCTCTAAGGTTAAATGCCTGTAAGTCAGCCTTAATTCAAAGTCACACTTCAAGAGCTGGGGATGTGGCTCAAGTGGTAGAGCACTTACCTGGAAAGTACAAGGCCCTAAGTTCAAAACCCAGTACTGCCAAAAAAAAAAAAAAGGGGGGGGGGGCTGACTCATAGTCACATTTCTGCATGGTGCTGTGTATTTTAGTTGCTTAGAAATTATTCTTAAAGAATTCCTGGTAAATCCCTTGAAATGTGTATTATTATACTCTTTAAAAACATTTCAATTTTCATATAAATTGGACATTTTTGAAACACAAACATGAACGCACCAAAGACATGTCTGTGTTAAGGTAGCACCAGGCCCTTGACACGAAAGTCTACTCAGCACTAAGAGGTACTGACTGCCCAGGACCTCATCTGGAGGGAAGATGCACCTCAACCTCTGTGGGCCCAGACGGCACCTGGGTCTCACAGCAAAGCCACCTGTCCTGAGCTTTCTGAGGTTAACTCCAACACACACTTTAGTGGCCAGGTTGGCGGCAGGCCAGAGGAGCAGGCCTGAGCTCCTGAACTTGGCCTCTGCAGAGTCTGAGAAGCTAGGGGCCCCACAACCCCACAGTGGCCACTGGCTCTGCAAATGCAATGAACGCAGCATTGTGCAGAATGAACCCCAGAAAGGGTCATTCATTCAACCCCTCCCAGGGGCCAGGGGACTACTTTGGATGCTGAGAGGAACCGTGAACACAAACCAAACTCCTGTTCCCAGGAGCCTACTCCAGTGGGACTCGGAAAGCAGGGGTGGTATGCAAGGCTCCCTTGCCAGGCAACCTGGGCACATGCAGCCCAAGGGAGCTTGTGAGAGACACGCCACCATCCCCCTGGTTAAGACTGGGTGAGGATGGTGCCCTTCACACACCCGGCACACTTGAAACCCTATGGCCCCCTCCAGCCTTGTTTCACATGGTCCACCCCAGACACACCAGGACCAAGTGACTCTGACCTTATCTGGTGTCGTCTTGCTCAGTGCTTTCTCAGACTTCCAGGCCTTTCCATCCCTGCTGGGGGCTTCCAGCCTGGCTAACTCCTCCCCACTGTCTCATGTCTCACTTTCAATGAGGCTCCCCAGGATAGCCTGTGCCCCTGCTCCTAGTCTGGGAGCTGTTCTCCTCCACAGAAGCTGCACAGCACTTACTCACTGTCTTGGCCATGGGCTGCACACCTGCCTCTTGTTGCATACAGAGCTCTGGGAAGGCAGGGAACCCCCATCTCCCCCATGGAGCAAAGTTGCAGTTACAGCTCTTAAAAGAAAAGGCTTCAGTTCTGGGAGGGGCCAAGCAGGGAGGGAATTCGGAATTGTTCTAAGCATCCTGCAAGGGTACGAGACAGCTTGTGAGGCTGCTGGAAGTTCTCCAACCCAGAGTCATTGTCTAGGAGCCACTGTCCTTCACCTGAGCCCATCGGCAGAGAAGAGGATGACTTTCCTCTCTCCAATGGCCTGGACTCCTTCAAACAGGCCCAACTTATCAGTCAGCTCTGGCTATAAACTCACACATCACTGCCTGTCTGGAAAAAAAAAAAAAAGTCTCATGCAAACATATACTATCTCTCTTGTGATTGATAGAATGTGTATAAAACCTACAACATTCCTCACTTTGTGGTAACTCTTCATTATCAAAATTGTTAATAAGTAAGAAAAAATACCACTATGACTACAAAGAAACAGGAAATTTGAGAAAATGGGAAAGGGTCTCCCCACAAAATCCCTGAAGGTCCAGAAGCTCCCTGCTGCAGGGAGTGTAGCCAAGCAGCACAGGTGTGGGGTAGGGGTGGACAAGGATGCTAAGATAAGTAAGAGCCATCGCAGAAGAGAACTGGAACGAGTCATGAGTGTCACACTGCATTCCTGACTCCGTCTGGGGGCTACACAGGGTCCCCAATGCACAGGAGAAACTGCCGAGACAGCAGTATGAGAAGCACGTACATGACAGAGCTTCCCAACCATGGTATTTTCAGCAAGTGGTAAAGCCCAGTCTGTCACCATGTCCTGGAACCTTCCATGTCGGTATTTTATGCCTCTTAGCACTCACAGAGCTGCAGGCTATATCCAAGACAAAGGGAGGCTCCCCACCCAGCCCTTTGCCCAGGCCCAGGTCACTGTGCCCACTGTCCAGGGCACTTTCTCAGCAGGGGGCAAAGTGAGTCACCAAGACACTTACATTCCTCATGGGACACTCCTGAGGGCCTGGCCACAGTTTTCTCCAGGGGCCCCAAGGATGGCAAACTGCATGAGAGCATGAAGTGACCCTGCTTGCTGACACATGCCACATGTCCAGGGCAGGAACAATACCTGACTCCCAGATTGTATTCGGCTGCCTCAGAAACACCAGGCTGCTAAGTAGAGACATTGGAACTATTTCGTCCATCAAGCAAGTCCCATCCACACACACTAACCCTCTGATCTCTCCCAGCTCACACACTGAGCACACTGAGTTCACACAGGCAACCAGCCCATTTCCATAGCCCTAGGCTGAGCAGCAAAGGCAAAACTCTCAAATCCTCGGAAAACAGCATCTAGGAAGCCACTGTGGACAGCAGGCCTTTGGAGCAAGCACTCAGAGAATCAGAGACCAACCCTGCACCTGGGTCTCAGTTTAGCCTTGACCCCCTCACATGCATTCACCCATAACCTCCACAGGATTTAAAACACAGGGCACGGTGGTGAGCACCTGTGGTCCCAGCACTTGGGATGCTCAGATAGGAGATAGGGGTTCAAAACCAGCCTGGCCAACACAGTGAGACCCTGTCTCAAAACATAAGACTTGGTGTAGCTCCTGCTGACTGAACTGCACTAAGGAACCTGGCCTACCAACTACTGCACAGAGATTTCACCTCTGAAATCTTTAAAAGAGTAGATTCTTCCTCCTACTTTATAGATGGAAAGGAATTCTAGCAAATTAGATAGAAACTGCAAAGTCTTTTTAAAAAAAAAAAACAAAAAAAAAACGTGGGCCCAGGAACGCCTCTCCCTACCTCGAGGGGCGGCCACCCACCTCCATACGAGCCTTGTAGAAGTCCACGTCGTGTAGCTTCTCCTTGCAACGGACGAGCTCCATCTCCAGCCTCTCCACACGGTTTGCCTTCTCCCTCAGGGAGTCCAGCTCATCTCGATAGGCACGGGCTGACCGGGCATCAGCCGCCAGCTGCATGTTCTGCAAGGTGGGCGAAGGGGATCCCAGTTTAGACATCCCTCTGGGGAGGGAAGAAAGGGTCAAGTCCCTGACTCATGGTGTCTCCAGGACATCCCAGGAAAAGCCAGCTCCTGGTAGCCAAGGGACTTTGTGTGCATGCCACTCTGCAGGGTCTCCACATGCTCTTGCTAAGAAACATGGTCACTCCCACAAGAATTCTCGGGATGACTGGCTCTGGAGAGGCTTTGCTGGTTGCGTTCCTGACTTTCTAGGCCCAGTTATTAGGATCCTGGACACACAAGCCCAGGTCAGGCTCACCTCCTGTTTGACTTTCTGCAGCTCCAGCACCAGCTGATCCACCTCGTGCCTGGTGTCCACCAGCTGCTCTGTCTTCTCCTCCCTGCAGGGGTGATTAGAAGAATAATGGATGTATGTGGGCTGCTTCCTTGGCAGGCTCTGAGAACATGCTACCATTTCCCAAAGCCACAGCAGAGAAAGGAGGAGACCTGGGCTTTCAGGGGTGGAGAAGGGATATGCCTACGGGGCCTGCAAAAATGTTCCCTATTTATAATTCTTTTATTTTCTAACACCTGCTCTCCAACAATGTCCCCCCACCGCCTGGGTTTCCCTTTAAGTGTTTGAGACAGGTAAAAGACCCCAGCCACAGTTATAGGATGCTATAATTAGGTGCGTGCGACTGAAGATGGGGAGGTAGGCAGGCAGCTACCCGGATCGGGTAAGGTGCATCCTCCCTCCAGCCAAGAAAACACCTGTGTGTGGTCATCCCAGCTCCATACTGGGCCTGCAAAGAGACAGCAGTCTACTTCCACAGACAATCTGTAAGGTTAGGGCTGGCAGGAGCCTGCAGACAGGGAAGAAGCCCTCCCTGTCTGTGTAGGCCCACAGAAGGACAGTGACTGGTCATCAGCCAGAGTCAGCTTGGAGCACCCCACCCCCAGCTCCACACCCCATCAGAGCTCTCCCGTTTGCATATCACACAAGCAATAAACCACACACTAGAAACATTCTTGTTCACACACCACATAGAAGTAGAAAAAAAGCATCCAGGGGACTCACAGCTCCTGCCTGACGCGCCGCAGCCTGGCCTTGGTGTCGGCCAGCTCCACTGCCAGGTGCTGCTTGTCCTCACTGGACAGGCTGCTGGTGGGGCTGGGTGTGGAGTCAACGCTGGAGGACTTGGCGGGGCTGGGCGGGTGCTGTGCCTGGAGGTAGTCACGTTCCTGTGTCAGGTCCACGATCAGCTGCACCGGGCAGAGAGTAGACAGAAGGGAATGAGTGGGCTCACTAGTATATCCCTCAACCCAGCATAACACCCAGACTCAGACTGAGTGAAAAAAAAACACCCAGAGACAGGAGAAGAGTTCAGCTGAGACTGAGAACCAGGAAGAAGGCAGGAGAAGGATATTGTGTGTTTTCAAAAAGTGAGGGCTTGAAGTATAAGCGGTAGAGCACCTGCCTGACAAATGTGAGGCCCTGAGTTCAAACCCCAGGTACCCCCTGACTAAAAAGGTGAAATATTTAGCAGGACAAAAATGAGTGCATGAATTATGGAGGGACCCCAAGCTCTGTACCCTGGTCAACTTCTGACCTGAGAGTGTCCCTCCAGTGACCATTCACTGCAGGGTCATGGCCACAGGAAGCATCCATGTTCCACCTCACCAGACCCTGACCAGCAGGACAGGGAGGCACCCAAGCCAAAGATGGAGAGAGAGGAGACGAAGGAGAGCAGCCCTGTTCCCAAACACATCCCATCAGCAGTGGCGCTGGCCCCAGGCACACCTCAGTGCACTCATCCCTCTCATCGATGAGCCTGCGGAGGTGGAGCACCATGCTCCTAGACAGGGCCTCCAGCTCCTCTGGGGCCACATCCGGCAGCTCCAGCCACTGCAGGTCGAACACGTTCTCCTGATTGTGGGTCACCTGTGGGCACAACACAATCCACCACTGCAGAGGCTGGCATGGCTGGCCCCAAGTAGAGACCACAACCCACCTCACCTCATTCCCCAGACACTGACATTCCTAATCCCTCACTGGCAAATGTCCCGAGCAAGCAGAAGGACACCTTTAGGCAAACTTCAGTGGAGCTCCACCAATACAAGCTGCTTCTGCTTTCAAAAGTCTTTTTTAATACCTGAAAGGGCTTCTTATGATAATTCTCCTACAGAGCCCTGCGATAACAAGATAGCTGTCCTGGAGCTCCATCAAATAACAAGGTAAGCGCCCAGGTAGGAGATGAGGAGCTGGACTCAATTCTTAATAACGGACTGGAGGCATGACTCAAAGGGTAAAGTGCTTGCCTCACAAGCATGAAGCCTGGAGTTGAAACTCCAGTATCGAAAAAAAAAATAATCATCATCATCTTCAGCGGGGCTGGTGGTATGGCTCAAGTAGTAGAGTGTGCCCTTCCCGCCCCCCCAAAAAAAGTCTAGTGCAAATAGAGCACAAATGTCAGAAAGCTGGATACACGGCAACCTTGGGTTAGTTTGGGGGAACTAATGAAAACCTAAGGCAACTTCGAGGTAAGCCTATATCTCATTCCCACAGTCCATGCAAGACTACCTGGTTTCCCTGAGCAGGGAGCCAAAAGCTGGCACGTTCCCAGTCTCTCAGTTTTAGAGGAGAAATTACATAATGATCAGGGCTCAAAAGGGAGTACAAAACAAGGAAACTCGGGGTACTCAACTAGGGAGGTACCCCAGAAAAATTTTACATTATTCAGAGCAGCAAATGGAGGTAGAGAATGGCTTTAAAAAAAAAAAAAAAAAAAAAACCAAAACACCAAAAGCAAAAATCAAAGGTATATCAAGACATCACTCTTTTCCTCTCTCCCACCTTAGAAAGGGCAGGTCTGGACACAGCTGATCTCTGAATTAGAACTCACCCCCTCACACAGGGAGTCGGGATCTGGAGGCTGGGTTCTGGGCCTGTCCATACCAGGGCTGGGGAAAATCCTCAGTGTCAAGGCCACTGTGGGACTCAATGCCAACAGCAAATGGTCACCCAGGGAGCTTTTAATTAAAGGATCACATTCCTCCTCCCAATTCTGACAAGTGGGTCCCTAGTGGGTCCTGGGTACCTTGACCCTTTAAAAAGTACCCAACGAATCCTGACGCCAACACCAGTGCCAGCCACTGAATCTGATAACCACACAGGACTCTCCTGGCCGAATGCTTTGTTTGTTTTTAATATCCTGCTGTCTGAGCAGGAAAGACATGGAGTGGCAAAAAGCTGGCAAATCTCAAGGACCTGGTCGCCAGACAGATACATTTTCAAAACACACACATACAAGGAAATTAAAAGGCAGAATAGCTCATAGGCTAACAGGTAGCTAGTAATAGCTGAAAATATTTACTGAAATATTGACTATTCTCCCAGACGCCAGCTTTGCTGGACCCCCTGCCGTCCTCGATAAGCCACATCCGTCTCCTGCTTCAAATCCTGATTCAGAACTCCCTAACCTGCAGTGCTCTGGTCATGTCACTGAGAGCCCGCATGAGAACTGTGTAAACAGCTTCGTCTGCCAATTATACACCACCTCCTCTGTGCTCTCGTCCTGTTCGTGATTTATCTCCTCTGTGGGAGAGGACAGAATGCTAACCCTAACGAGACACCTGACCCAAGACAACAGTCCATCTTCAGGTGGGTGCTTGCCACCCACAGGAAACTGTATTTCCAGTTGATACGATCCCTGCCATTGTCAAGAATAGGGACTAGAAAGGTCTGCTTGTCCTTCTCCATGGTGATGACCCTTAAGTGACCCTCCTGAACTCACCCTGAGGGCCTGCGTCTAGGCTGGGGTAAAAGTCCCTGAGGTGGCCTAGCCAGGACTCACTAACTTTGAGGTCCCACAGGGTGGCAGCTTGTTTCCCTGAATGTCTCTGACAGCAGCAGGAATATCTCTATAAAGATCAACCATGCAGAGCAGGGTGACATTTGCCAGAATACATTTTCAAGGTCTGTAAATCAAATTCTGAGCCTAAACCATTTGACAGCTCTTAAAAATAGTTTTGAGACCATAAAAGGCAAGAAGAAGGGAGGCAGAAGACTTGATTGAGGTGTTGACTTTTTTTTTAATTTTTCTTTTTACCCTGATTTTATTTTAGATGATGGCCACTTTTCCAAACAGAATCAATTTGTCTTTAGTGTCTGAAGCTTCAAATTAGCAAAATCGGTTGCGGGTGATGTAGCCTGACTTTTCCACGATGGGGACACTGCCTCCTTCCTGCCCCAGGAGAGCACCCCTGGCCAAGCCCCCATGCCTACCTCCTGGATGTGCGCCACGATGCCAGCCTGGGTCTCGATGTCCAGCTGTTTGATTCTCTCAATGAACTCCTCCTTCCTCTCACACTGTGAAGATGTTTCACATGTTTAATGGAAGCATTTTGCAAGGGAGGGCAAGCCTGACGCCCTGGCCACAGCCACAGCCACAGCGTTTCAGCCCCAAATGCCCACCCAGCCTGGTCTTCTCTGTAACCAAGACTGCCTTGTCTGTGACTAGCCCTTGGACTGAGGCTCCTCAGAAAGCTGTGCTGACCACCTACAGGAGCTTGTTTTCAAAAGCCCATCCTTAAGCCCCTCCTGGATGGAAAACACTGGGGGGTGGGGGGAACGGACACAGAAACCTGTGTTTCACACCAGCTCTTCACAAGTGAAGACGGAGAATGCCCCGCTTAAGGAATGTGAGGCACACTCCACCCACAAAGGGTCAGATGGTAACTTTTGTATGTGTGTGTGGTGCTGGGAATTGAACCTAGGGCCTTGCACATGCTAGGCAAGTGCTATACCACTGAGCTATACATCTCCAGACCTTGGTTTTTGAGACAAGTTCTCATTATGTAGTTCAAGGCTGACCTTGAACTCCCAATCCTCATGTCTTAGCGTCGAGTGCTGTGATTACAGACATGTGCCACCAAGTCTGTCTAGATGGTAGCAATTTTAGACTTTGCCACCTTTTAGCCCCTGTCACAAACTACTCAACTCTATTACCACAGTATAGAATAGCCAGAGACAGTATGTGAAGGCAAAAGCATGACTGAGTTCCCAATAAAACTTCATTTACACACAGGCAGTCAGTCAAAGGTTCCCCATAGACTGCAGCTTGCAGGTCCTTTCTCTAGATGTTCCTGAAATGGAGACAATTTGCTAAGGGTACCCTGACCTGAGGAGCCCCCACCAGGCTTCTCTGCACAAGGTCCTGGATTGCAGGCAGCTTCACTCCTACCTGACCTAAGAGCACAACTATCCCAACCAAGCCAAACTCAGGCTAGCTTAGGGCAGGTCCCTCCACCCCTGCCCGAGCCCTACCTGGACAGCACAGCCCAGCACCAGCAGCAGCACCTTCTTAATCTCCTCCATGCTCTTCCCTGCACCAAAAGAGCAACATTTCATTAAGCTCAACTACTTGTGAAATTCCCCAGTCATATGCTGTAAAGGAAAAAAAAAATCAAGTAAACTAAAACAAAACAAAAAACAAAAAACCACCTCCCAGCCACCCTGTGTACCCACTCCAGCTGTTTTCTGCAATGAGTTTATTTTTCACCAAATGAGAATTCCATGCATAACTATTTGAAGGCCTTTTTCTATTCAAACTCCTCCTATTTCCCCATGATAACTGACCTCACGATCAGTAATAGTTTTTAGCATGTATGGTAAGCAACGCAAGAAAGGACAGCACTGTACCCACAGGGGAGACTAAGCCAACTACACAGCTTCACCCTTCATTATGTGGCATTTCACACAGACATTGGAGGACAGTGAGCCCCAATACCCAACTTCACGCTGTTAACACTGTGAATATTTGGCTGGAATATTCTGAAGCAAAACCACAGACAGCATATCCACATCATTTTGATGGCTGTATACTTTCTCTGCACAAAGGTCACAATATTTTAATCTAAAGGGTGCTACAAAGAGCCCCTTGGTGGCTGATTCTTCCTGCACATCCTTATATCCTTATTTACTTCCTTGGGGGAGGGCTGGGGGGGATAGTTTATCTTCTACGCTTTTCATGTTGCCAAACTCCCTTGCAGATGGGCTTTAATCATCTAAGATACATGAGAAGTCCCACTTTCCTGCCCTTGACCAACACTGCTCTTATGACTCTCTCACCTTGGTCAGATAGGCCAAAACCCCAATTCACCATTTTAAATTGTGTATTTGATTATACATGAGACGGAACACCTCAATCACCTGAACAGCATCCAAACACCTGGGCTCTAGACCTTGGTCATCTACGAATGATGTGTCCCGACAACCTCAGTTTCCATGTCTATAAAACGGAGGCAGCAAGCCTAGGTGATGGGTGAGATTTTCTTTCATGTTAAAAAAGTTTTTTCGTTTTTTTAAAAAACACATTCTGTTGTACCAGGGATGAAAGGGCATGCCAAACTACCACCGTTTTCTTGAAAGACACTGCATACTCATACTGTGTCACGGTCCCTGGGAATAGCACCTGACCTCCTCAGTCCTCAGCAGACACAGCTGAGCAGGGCTTCTCCCAACATGGGCATATTGTCCAGTGTCAGCACCAGGAGTGGGAGTTCACCCAGCTTGTGTCCTTCCCAGCTGGAAGGTGGGTGGGAGCAGAGAGGTTCTAGGCTGCAGGGTCCAGGCCACCTCACTGCTCTCAAGGACACACCAGAGGATGAGGCTGGTGGCGTGGGTCAATGTACTATGATTCAATGTGTCTCTGCTGGTAGGTACGGAAACTCGTCAGTATGTGAAATGGAAAAGTTCTCCAAGTTTTATATTTTTCTTTTTAATGTGTGGCCCAACAGGCTCTAATCCATAGACCACACATCACCACAATGACTCGCTTCTCTATCAATGGTCCAAAACCACTTCGTTTTGGTTTTAGAAATGGGGCAAGGGAATGACCACTGGCATCAACCCAGCCTCAAAATGGCTGACCCATCACCAGCCCCATCACCAGCCTGCCTCCTTTCCCTCCATCACCTTGCATATTGCTGGCCAATTGCCCCTTTTCACAGGCTGCTTACTTGGGTCCTACAACCACCTGACCTGAGACACTGGAAGAAAGCACTTAGAGGAAAAGCCAGAAAATCTTTATGTACTCTACTCACGGCAAAGACCCAAATGACGTAATTACATCACTGTCTAAGACAATTCATACTACTCTGGTAATCCACTGTCCCAGTCCACAGCAGATCAGAAAAGCAAACTAAAACACAGAGGAGCCGTGGACTCATGGGGACAGAGTCTGTGCTGCATAGACAATGACTATAGCCAACAGTTCCGCACTATATATTCAGAACAGCTCATCACACTGACATGAGCAGTTTCTGAGATGATGGAGAGCACAAGTATCCTGAGTTGATCAATACACAATGTACACATGCACCAACACACCACACTGTAGCTCCTACGGATGTGCAATTATCCGTCAATTAAAAATAAATAAATAAAAATGGGAATGGGTACAGGAAGCCCCACTGCTAGCAGCAACAACACAACCAGTGTTCTGACAGCAAAGATTCTAGAACTCTGCACACACTGAGGGCTTGAACCCACACTCCGAGGCTGCTCAGGACAGAACAAAGGGCTCTCCTCCCTCCTCTGAGCCCTGCACTCATCAACCATCAAGAAAAGGCTGGATGTGACCCAGAGAGCTGTTAGAAAAGCACGGATTCCTGTGTGCTGAGCTTTGCAATGTGTGTGTGTTGAGGGTAGAGGAGGGCAAGTTTAGAAAAGGTTTTATAGGAAAAATGAGAATGAACTCACTGGTGATGAACGGGGTAGGAACAATCCACCTGTGCCCTGCTCATAGGAGCATCTGACAAGTACAGACTGTCAGTTCTGGTTTCTCATAAGCAGCTGAGGCCTAATTTCTCTCAGGATTTCAGCAGCAAGACTTGCTGTCTTCATTAATCCACTAGACTACAGGTTTTGAAATAGTTTCAAAACATACCACAAGACTCTACTGGGTCCCTGTGGGCTTGGTGACACAGTCAGCAAGCCAAGGACAAGCACCTACTGTATGTTGGGAGAACAAGTGACCACCAACAAGTCCTCTGAGTATTGACCAGCATAGACATAAACAAGCAGACCAGCAATTTCAAAAAGCTGATGGACGCTATGGGAACCTAGAATAAGGACTTCTAGTTTACAGTAAGAATCAGGAAAAGCTTCCTAAAGAAATGATGCTGAACTGAGGCTCCTAAATTAAGAAAAAGGGACAGGCTTCCAGATATAGGGACAGCATGTACAAAGGCCCAGAGCTCAGAGTGAGTGGTATTTCTCTAAGTATAACTGCTTTTTGGTTAGTTTACTGGAGCTCTTTTTCAGAGTGAGATGGATTTCTATGTCACATTGAGTCACAAGCCAACCCTGGGAAGAAACATCAGATACTTTCCTCCACTACCTACTCTGTGTGATGTTGAGTGTGAGGGAACCCAGGGGGATCCCAGACAGCCTGAATCACTGGTTGAATCTAAGATAGGCCTTAGTAACTTGCTGCCTCCCTCAGGAGCCCCCCAGCAGACATGGCAGACAAGCTGATCAAAGTAAAGATCAATCAGACACTTGCTGTTTAGCACAGTCCTGAACACAGCACTCTGTAGACTGTCAATCAGTGAACACAAGCACACTAAACAAAACCTATCTTCCATGATGGTCCATGGTCTCCCAGGTGCCTTTGGCTCTACCTACTCTTTGGTTCTCCAAGATATAGGCACCTGAATGTTCACAACACACTTCCTGGTTTCTGTCATCTGTAAATGATGACTGAGGTGGAAAAGTACACGGTGATCACCTGACAGACTGGGGTGGGGGGGATGGGAGTTGGGGAGGGTTGCAGAGAAAAGCAGTGATCCTGATTCGTGTCATGCTAGCTCAGCCCTCCACAACCACAGAGGCTGAGGACCTACTTTTCAGCCAGGCTGGGGGGGAGACCCTCACACCTGGGAGGTCTGGCACAGATCAACTGCCCTCCCCTCAATAGCCACCCCTACTGTACTTCACCTCCACAGGTTTAACCCCAGGGCAATCCCAAAGGATGACCTTATAAACTCCGTCTTACAAACAAGAACGTTAACTGTTACAGAACTAAGACCTGTACCTGGATTTGCTGTCACCTACCACCTCCTATCTCTCTACCACCCCACCCAAACCCTGCATTTGCTGACTGAGTGATGTGTTACCAGCAAGCACTTGGGAGAGAAACAAAAAGAACAGTTTCTTTTTTTCCTCCCACTGGAAGACAGTACAGTTTTTTTCTTGGTAATTCTACATACTGTGCTCTCCCTAACTTACATGCTGGGCTGGATGCTACCTCAGCTCCCCTGACTTTCTACTTAAAAACCAGTCATTCACAACCATGGTTATGGGGCTGCCTCAGCCACTTGCAAACAGCAGTTTGAACATGACTCCATTTCTCCCAGATGAAGGAGCCCATCCCTAGACTTACCCCTCTGTGGTCCTCTGGGGGCTCTGCTTACCACAAGGACGATGTTTAACTAAACACTCAAGATCACCTTCACAGGCACTGTCAGGGCAGTGCAGACAGAGTTCCTTATAGGCGAGCATACAGGACCCCAACCGTCCACAGGGTAGGAGCCAGGCCCTTCTACACAATGGCTCACATTCTTGGTGGGGTGGGGTTAAGTAAACCCCTGTGACACCATCTCCCAGTTTCTTACTCCCAGAAAATTATCACATGCAGCCCCCACCTGGCATAAATGTAACAAGGCAATCCCCTACTTGTTTAGTCATTCAGTAAACGTTTATTAATTGTACAGTTTGACAGGCATGGAGCCACACATCTGTGTGAAATACTGTACCCTGACCAGCAGCCCCCTCTTCTCTGAGTCTCCTCCATCTCCTGTATTATCTCCCACCCCCAGTGCTCCCCGTGCACCACCATGAGTGACAGAAGATGGCTGTCTCCAGGCTGTGTAGAACAGTCTGTTAGCTCTCAGAACACCTGAAGTGATTCCCCTCCCCACCAGCCTACCAAGGTCACCGAGGCTGAGAGGAGATTTGCTTCCCAGCATCCAAAAACCAAGAACACAGAAGAATCCATCACAAGATTGAAGCTCGGATTCCCAATTTGCCAGGAAAGAGGTGAGACAGCAGGAGAAGGTCAGAGCAAGGGTCCCTCCCACCACCAGGCAGAAAACGCCAGGCCCAAAGTCCCCAATGACTATAAAGACCTTTGACAAACAACATCTCTTCCCTCCTCCGACTGGGATGGCCTCGGACAGGGGACGCAGTCCTGCGGGAAGCCATGGTGAGGCCACTGCAGGCAGCAATGTTGGAGTGTGCGCTCTGAGCCCAGGCCACCACCACCACCACCGGGAAGTTTACTAAACAAAGCCCGGTATCCAGGCAGGCCCAGGGCTGGCTG